AAACATATCGAGAGAGAGAGAGAGAGAGAGAGAGAGAGAGAGAGAGAGAGAGATCAAAATGGTTAACTGGCCCTATAACCAAAAAAAACAAACATCTTTTTAATTTCTTGGCGACAATTTTTTTTGGGTTGTTCAACATTAACAACCAAAAATCGTCGTCTGTTTTTTTTCTATTTGATCTTGATTCTTCTCAAGAAAGAAAAATCAATGATAAGATCATCACCATTATCAACATCATAAAAATTTTATTAGCATCGAGGTAAGGGAAATTTTTTTTTTTAGAAAAATAAATAATCTCTTTTATTTATTTTATATTTTAGATAAAATTCATTCATTCATTTCATTTTGGAATTAAAATCTGATCCACCACTATGAATTTCTGGTTCATAATACATTAAAACGAATGCAACCCAAATATGTAATAGGATTATGTAGCAAAGAAAAGCTGCACGTGCCGATGGATATTGGCGAAGAAAATTTCCTAAACGTATACTTGTGATGGGAAAAAGAAACGAAAAAATTATTGATATCGATGATTGAAATCAATCAATATGTTACCTAAATTTATCGATTGCTGTATATGCACGTTTAACTTTACGTGTAACTTGACCATCATTTGGATTATCATGTATTAATGATTGAATATCATCCATATTATTAATATTCGAACTGGTCATACGATGTTTGATCATGTTTGTGAATGCTGGTGAATGATATATTCCAATTGCAACTAAAAAACAAGCAAAAAGTCAATCAATCAATCAAATATTGAATCATTTCTTACCATCATTATTATTCTGTTGATTATTGCTGTTATTGCTATTTCCAATCATAAATTCTTTAAATTTTTGTTCACTTCTTTCTAATTGTAATTTTAATGAATGATTTGCTGATGATAATTGTTCAATTAATGATTGTTTTGAAATTAAATTTTCAGTTAATGATTTTAATCGTTGTTCCCATTCATTATTGATTATCGATGATTCACTATTACCATCAACATTATCAACATTATTATCCATTTGTATAAGACGATGTTGTTGTTTTAATATTAATTGTCGACGTAATTTATCAATTTCTTCATCACGTTCATTAATACGTGCTGATAATGTTGATTTTATTTGATTTAAATCATCTTGATATGATTTACAATCACTGGATAATTGATCAATTTCATTTTGTAATTTTGATTTTAATTTAATTTCTTCATTCAATCGATTATTTAATGTTTGAATTTCCGAAAGTTGTCTTGGGATTGTTTCATTTTCATAATCATTCAATATGGTTCGAATCGAATCATAACGATTACGCATTTCAATCAATTCATTCATTAATGTTGTACATTGTTCTTGTAGAATTTTCATTCGTTCATCACTATTATCATCACCAGTATCGATAGTAGTTGTCGATGTTTCCGTTCGATTATCCAAATCGTTATTTTGTTTCAAAATTTTAAATTGTTCAAATTCTTGTTCAATTTTTTCATATTTTTTTCGTAAATTATTATTCAATATTTCTAATTCCAGACGATTTGATTTTTGTTCATTCAATTGTCGACGATATGAATCTAATTCATCAATCAATGAACGTTGATTATTTTCTAAACGTATGATTTGTTGATTACATGAATCTTGTATACGTTTGGATTCAATTTTTTCAAATTCTAATGATTGTTTTAATTGATCAATTTCATTATGAAGATTATTAATCATTTCATTATTATCTAAACGTTCATGAAGTTCATTATTAATTTTTTCATTTAATAATTGTAATTCTTTATATTTTTCATCTTTTTCCTGTAATTCCAGTAATAATTGTTCCATTTGTACTTTTAGTGCTGCAATTTGTGAATCTTTTACATTAATCGATTCTTGTAAATCTTGTTCTTTTGAATTTAAATCTTTTATCAATTTTTCATTCGAAATCATTTGATTATAATAATTTTGTGCTTTCAGTTTTTGTTTTTTATATTCAGTATTTAATTCAAGAATTTTTCGATTCAATAAATCAAGCTCTTTAATTTCACGTGTTGTTGTTTTCATATTATCCTGATCATTATTGGTAAATGATTGCCATTCTTCTTCAGGTATATTATTAATATCTTTATTATTTAAATATTCCATTAGTCTATTATCACTACAGCCATTATTAATATCATTATCATGTGATTTTGAACCATTTGAATCATAACTAGATTGACGAGTGTGGCCATTTCCATCATTTTTTCGATGATAATGATGATGTTGATTATGATGATTATTACCACCATTATCGGAAACCAATGAATTTGTACTCGTACTTGTTCGTAAACTCATTATATCAGGTCTGATTATATCAGGTAGGATTTGATTAGAAATTAATTTAATTAATCAACAACTATTTTTTCGTCAAAAAAAAAGCTTACGTGTCAATATATTCTGTATCGAGTAAACTTTGATTATCATTTGGAATGGTCGTTGTCGATGTTGTTGAATGTTTTCGAACATTTTTTATGGAATTTACATTTGTTAATGCTGTTGCTGTTCCTTTATCGACAGCATTAAGAAAATTTTCCGCTTTACCGGCAATTTCGGTTAACCAAGACATTTTTTAATTACGGTTTTTTTTCAGAAAAAACATTTCAGACCGAAAAAAAATTAAAAAATCTTTTTGGATAATGATGATGTCAACAACGTAATTTATTTCACTGTTTACAATCGAACGCGACATACAATTTATGAACATCCCAACCACCGTATTTTGGAATTTCGATTTTTTTTTATCAACAACGTGTTTTCTCTTCGTGTTTTTTTGTTTTCGGTGAAAAAACTTTTAAATTTCAAGTGAACAAAAAATGGCCAATAACAATAATCTAAAAGAAATTATCTGCCATAATCTAAATCAGGCACTTTCAATGGATAAAAATTTACGTGAAAATGCTGAACAACAATTAAATATGTTGGAAACAAATGAAGGTAAATATAATGATAAATTTTTGTTATTGAATTTGATCTAATTTTTCATTTATTTTCTAATCTAGATTATGGTCTACATTTAATGGAAATAACATTGAGTGAAAATTTAGATTTTTCAATTAGACATTTAGCATCAATAATATTGAATCGTTATATTACAAAACATTGGTGTAATCAAACAGAAAAATTTGAACCACCTGAAATATCTGAACAGGTTAAACAATTAATTCGTGATTATTTATTAAAATCATTGGTGATTACTAGCGGCGGTGGTGGTGGTAGTGGTGGTAATAATGATGAAAATATTCATAAATTATTAAGTTCATTTGCACATTCAATCAGTAATATTGCACAATATGATTGGCCACAACAATGGCCACAATTATTTCCAACATTAAATCAATATCTAAGTTATGGTCAACAACCGAATGCTATTTATTCGTCATTAAAAGTTTTTCAAGAATTAGCACATGAAATAACCGATACACAGATACCAGATATAGCACCAATATTATTACCACAATTATTGAATATATTTATATCGAAAAAATTCCCGATCCATACCAGTACAAAAGCAGTGAAAATTTTTGGTATAATTTCCGAAACAATTATGGCAATGAATGATTTGGATAAAAATGCAATCAAACAATATTTAGCTGATTATATTCCACGGTTTACTGAATATGCAATTGAAGTTCTTATGACATCCGATACCAATGATACAGTTGATATTGGAATGAAAAAAGAAATTATTTCTATTCTTACACAATTGTTACGTTATTGTCGTAAATATATGAAAGTATATTTACCAAAAATTCTGGGACTGATTTGGCAACATTTAACAACATCAGCACAGATTTATGTAAAATTTAAAGTAAATTCTTCAATGGAAAATAATGATGATTTTAATGATACATTTTCTGAAACAATAATTGATTCAGATGGTGAAACAATTAGTTTTGAAAGTTTAATATATTCAATTATTGATTTTGTTAATTCAACATTTGAATTTGCAAAATATCGTTTATTGATCAAACCTGTACTATCAGATTTGTTATATTATTTACTTTGTTTTGTACAAATGACTGATGAACAAATGGAAAAATGGCAATCAAATTTAGATCAATTAATTGAAGAAGATGATATTGATACGGCTGCATTTTCAATACGTATTGCTGCACAGGATTTAATTATGAATTTAGCACGTGATATGACTACATTGGATGATAAACATACCCGAAAAGATGATGAATTATTTAAAATTGCCTTTTTACAGGCCGTTCAACGGCATTTTTCTGAAGCATCTGAATTGGAAAAAACACAAAAATCAAGACAAACATGGAAAATTATTGAATCATGTCTTTATGTAATGGGAATTCTTTCACCTACTATTATTTATACGATAAAAAGTGGTAAAAATACTGCAAATGAATACCGAAGTATTTTGGATAATGTTTTATTAAATTTAAATATGACTGAATCATTTATGGCCGGACGATCATTATGGACAGCAAGTCGTTTTTCCGAAATAATGAATGATCAATCATTGGATAATTTTCTACGAATAACATCAACATTATTGAATAATATTGTTGATGCACCAATATTAAGTGTTTATGCATTACGTGCAACATATTATTTTTTTGAAAATGTTCAAATTAATCAACGTGTACAGGTGATACGGCCACATTTACAACAATTTTTACAAGGATTAATTACAATCGGAATGAATTGTAATAGTGATACACTTTATCTTGTTCTGCAGATTATTGATTTACTTTCAGAATTGGATAAAGAATTTACTTGTTCAGCATCATCATCAATTTGTTCAATTTCATTATCATCATTTCTTCGTTTTCCTGATGATACAATCATATTTGATGTTGTACTATCAATATTTGATCATTTATTTTCAATTGAACAATGTTTTCCTGAAATTCAAAAACGTTTATTACCAATTATTGTTGCCATATTGAATTCAAATCCAAATGATTCAAATATTTTGGAATTATTATCATCATCAAGTAATAAGATTTCTGCACAAAATATGTCAATATTACAGCCACAAATATTGGATATGTTAACAAAAATTCTTAATCATTCAAATGGTTTGAATGATTTTATGATTGAAAAAGTTTATCCATCAATGATTGATTGTTTAAATAAAGCATATAAAGATAGTTCAGCAATATTTCAAAATGGTACTGAATGTTTAAGTGCTTTCCTAAGGAAAGGTTCAGATTTTTTAGTACGTTATATTGATCCAACAACCAATCAAAATGGTATCATTTTAGCATTGAATGTAAGTTTTTCTTTTTCATTTTTATGAAATTAAATCTAATTTTTTATCCCCGCAATAAAAAGATTTGCATCAATTTACTGAATCCACATACATCCGATTCATCGGCTGCATTTGTTGGTCGTTTAATTGTTATATTAATAATGCAATCAAATCAAATTATTGGTCATGAAAATATACAACATTTATTACGATCAACATTAGTACGATTAAATACCAGTAAAGAATTACCAATAATGCAAAGTTTAATATTAGTTTTTGCACATTTACTTTATATGGATTTATCAACAATATTAGTATTTCTGAATACATTACCAGCACCGGATGGTACAAAATCAGCATTAGAATTTGTTATGGATAAATGGCTTGGTATTCAACGTTATTTTCATGGTTATGAAAATAAAGCATCAACCGTTGCATTATGTCGTTTGTTTCAACATGCATTACAACAACAACAACAACAACAAGCTAATACAGCTAATAATCAAGACAATAGTAATAGTAATGATTTAAATTTTATCAATTTAAATCAAATTCAAGTTTCTTGTGATGATGAATTTGATTGTATGGATAGTTTGGAACATACATCAGCTAGAACACGTTCACAAATGAATCAACTGGGAAAAAATTTGAAACAAAAAAAACGTTTTGTTCCTTGTACATTGAAAATATTGAAATTATTGATTAATGAAATGATTCATATTCAAGAATATAAAACCGAACATAATGATGATGATGATGACGTTGAAGATTTCGATGATGATGATGATGATTTTGATTCGGATGAAGATGATGATGATGATGATAATCAACTTGGACAACATTTAGATTCATCAATGAAATCATCAAATAAACAACAAATGATTGATCTAACTGATTTATTAGCTATGGAAAATGATCAAGATGATGATGATGATGATGATAATGAAATTTTAAGTGAAGAAATTGGTGAACTTGATCTTGAAAATGTATTACGTAATTTTCTTTGCGAATTTCGACAACTTCCAATGGCAAGAGATTTTATTGTTCATTTAACATCGACCGAATCAAATCTATTGGAACGTCTTTAACGAAAAAAAACAACAAAACAAACAAAAATGTTTTCATTTATTTAAATTATTATTATTATTATTTGTGTTTTTTTTTATTTTTTAAAATAAATAAAATCATCATTTATTGATGATGATTGACAGACAAGTAATAGATAATTATTGATAATGATCGATATTAGATATGATTGTGCATCTAATTTTGCTAAATGATGATCATTTTCATAATCAAACCAATCATCATCATCATCATCACTTGATTCTTGATCTTCGTCTTCTTGATAGTCATCATCATCATCATCATCAATGATTTCGAATCGATTAATTTGATTAATTATATGATTGAATTCCATTGAAAGATTCTGATAGAATTTATTCAATTGTAATTTAGTTTTTGATTGATGATTTATTGAAAAAAAACAATCTACAATCGATTTTATCATCTGATCAAATCGATCGATTAATAATGATGATGATGATAATGATGATGATCGATTATTTTGATGATAATCAATTTGTAATTGTTGAACTAATTGCCAAAATTCATTAATAATTATCTGTGATATATAATTGCCATCATCAAATAGATAATAATAATGATGATGATGATTGGTTTGAATGGAATTCATTTTCATTGCTAAATGATTTACTGATTCACAGATTATGGTAAAGTCGATTTTCTATAGAAATTTTGAAAAAATCATTTAAAATTTGATTTTTTTAAAAAACAAAAAACTTACCTTCAACAAAGCAATTAGATTAACAATAAATTTAATTTTAAATTTCCATTTTAATGCATCATTCAATTTGATTGTGTTCAAATAGCTCAAATCATATTGATTTGATATTAATTTCCATTTATTCATGTTATTTGAATTATTAAAAATTTCCTTGATCCAAACATACATTACATGACCAATTGTATTGATATGTTGAAGATTTTTATCATCGGAATCCAAGGATAAATATAATCGACATAATGATGAATACATAAATGAATCTAATAATTTCATTTGATCAATAAAAATAACAATATTTGATGGTAATTGTTGCCAAAAATGCATTATATAATGACGCATCTGAATAACGGGGTTAAAAAAAAATTGATTCAAAGTGATTTTTTTTTTTCTGTAAATTCAAAAGTTTACCTGGCCATAATTTTCATTCAAAGCAGCATCAAGTAAAAATTGACAATGTGTTTTATAAAGATTTGTAAAAATTAATTCATCATTCTGTTTAGAAAAAAAATTAGTTCAAAAAAAAAATCTTTGTAACAAAAATACAATTTACATTATAAAGTTGATCTTCCGGTAATCGTATAAACGAAATCATTGATTGTATAATTGAATTATAATCATTTTCATGATTATAATCAATGATTTTTGATTTATTTTTTGATAAAATTGTTAATGTCGATGATGTTTCCGATGATTTGGCTTCGTTGAATGTTATTTCGCAGTTGTTGTTGTTGTTGTTGCGTCCATTCGTATGTAAATTATTGATTCGATCATTTTCTCTAAAATTGATATTATAATACTTGTTTTGGGATTGATTTGATTTGATTGATTCAAAAAATTCATTCAAATTCATACTAACATGATATTTACTTTGACCACGTGCACCTAAACGTTTTGATTTAACCATTGGAAAATGATTACGAATTAATTTTCCAAACGTTGCTTTACAAACTGGTAGAAAATTATTTTGTTGACAAAATTTTTGATATGATTCATAGATTAATGAACGGGCAATTGAAACACCTGAACGAAATTGAAATGTTTGTTGTAACCAATCGTATGTTTTTAATGTTTGTTGATTCGATTTAATTCGATCATCATTCATATTCAATATTTCTTGATCATTTTGATTGATAATGGTTATGGAATTCTCCATTTTTTTTTTAAAAAGTATTTTCAATTCGATTTGATCATCAATCGATGATGTCAGCAAAATTATTGAAATTGAACTAAAAAAAAGAAAAATCCATTTCTTTTTTTGTCTGACATCAGGATTAACCAACCAAAAAAAAAAAAAAAAAAATTGATAATCTCATCAAATCAGAAAAAATCCTAACAAAATGTTAATCCAGGTAAATAATAGGTAATATATGGTCCAGTGATGATATTAATGATAATCTTCTTAATTTTCAAAATGACAAAATGTTACATTTTTTTTTTACTTTTTGATCAAAAAAACAAAATTATTATTTATCAGATTTTATTATATTTTTTGTTGTTTTATTTAAATAATAACAATCATTTTCATTGGAAAAATTCATCGCTGCTGCTGCTGCTGATGATGATGATGATGATATTGATTGTTGAACAATAAAATCATTATGATTATGATTAAAATCATAATGATGATTTATTGGTGTTATTAATGGATAATAATTTGATTGTTGTATTGAGAATGATGATGTTGTTGATGGTGATAATAATGTTGTTGTTGATGGTGATTCAGCACANCCCTTTTTTTTTTTTTTTTGAAACCAGGATTAACCAACAAAAAAAAAAAAAAAAAAAAAAAATTGATAATCTCATCAAATCGGAAAAATCCTAACAAAATGTTAATCCAGGTAAATAATAGGTAATATATGGGCCAGTGATGATATTAATGATAATCTTCTTAATTTTTAAAATGACAAAATGTTACACTTTTTTTTTACTTTTTGATCAAAAAAAAATTATTTATCAGATTTTATTATATTTTTTGTAGTTTTATTTAAATAACAATCATTTTCATTGGAAAAATTCATCGCTGCTACTGATGATGATATTGATTGTTGAACAATAAGATCATTATGATTATGATTAAAATCATAATGATGATTTATTGGTGTTATTAATGGATAATAATTTGATTGTTGTATTGAGAATGATGATGTTGTTGTTGATGGTGATTCAGCACACCATACACAATTATTATTATCTTGTATTGAATAATTTCTTCTCGTTGTTGATTGTTGATTATTATAAATATCCAATATTTCTGTTTCATATTGATGATTACCATTTGAAATTAATGATCGATCAGTTGTTGTTGTCGATATGTTCATATTTTCATCAATAATTGGTGATGATAATGTTACACGAGCAACAGTTGATCGTGGTAATGATGATGATTGATAATATAATGGATAATGATGATTATGATTATGATGTGATGTTGTTGTTGATGATGATGGTGAATAACCAACGAGAAAACCATTACAATTTGTTAATTGATGAGCTGATGTTGTCGATGTTGCCGGTGTTGTTAATGGAAGTATTGGATTCGATGTTGATGTTAATATCGAAGTTGACGATGATGATGATGTTGATGACGATGATAATGAAAGACCATTTTCGATAACAATAGAAGGCAATGTAGAACAAGAGTTTAATAAAATTGGATTCGTTCCAATCGGTATAGACGGTGTTGTTGGCTGTATGAATGTTATGGCTTGTAATGATGTTCCAGGATGATGAAAATGATGATTATCGATATTTGATTGATAATTATTATTACTGCCATTTGAAAAAAACAAAATAAAATAAAATTACCATTTATAAATTCCTTCAAAAATAAATAAAAATTACCAATTTCTCATCATCATATTCATCATCAAACGTTTTTCACGATTACGAAGAATTTCTTCTTTACGTCTTTTATATGTAGGTGGTTTTGCCAATGATATTTCCAATTGTAATCGTTCGGGCATTATTATATAGCCATTCATTTGTTTCATTGCTTCAATAGCACAATGTCTATGTTTAAAATGTACGAATGCATAATCTTTGATTTTTTTTACACGTTCAATTTGACCAAATTTTTCAAACATTTCCCAAATTGTATAATTAGTCATATCTAATGTTAAATTACGAACATAAAGAACTTTTACTTTGGACATTATTTCTTCATCCGGTTGTTCTAATGGTTCAGCCCAATCAATCCATATTTCTGAATCCCATATTATTGGACGATTTAATTGTAATTTTCTTTTTGCTTGTGATGCATGTTTATGTGATTCAAATTCCAAAAAACAAAAACCACGATTACGTTTACGATCATTTGGTAAATGATAAACAATTACATCAACTAGACCGGCTATAGAATTAATTAAATTACAGGTATTAAATTAATTAACTTTTTTTGTTGTTATTGTAAAAATACCTGTAATTTTTTGAAATTCATATCTAATATCATCTTTAGTCATTTCTTTGGAAATATTTCCAATAAATAGCCGTACATTTGGTATAGACATTTTTACTTTTAATTGTTGTCCATATGTTTGTAATTCATATTTATCAAATGTTTCAACAGCAGCTTGTGCATATTCTGGCTGAAAATATGTTATAAATGCATAACCACGTGATTGACCAGTTAATGGATCCATCATTAAACGTAAACTAAAGATTGGTGCAATCTGTTCAAACAATAATACTAATTCATCTTCAAACATATTTTTCGGTATTTTACCAACAAATATTTCTGTATTTGGTCCAGGTAAATCATCATTTTTTGAACATTGTTGTTTACTAAATTTTCGTTGTCCATTCGATAGTTCAAGAACATAATCTTTGCGAATTCAGAAAAAAAAATTTATATAAAAAAAAAAATACAAAAAAATATCACTCAAAAACAAAAATATTTACCATATTTTTCAAGAATTTCCATCAACACAATCATATTAGGACCGGGACGATGTTGCATTGCATTCGATGTCATAAAATTTATGATTCGATTTTTATTCGATTGTTGTGGATTTCGATTAATCATTTGTTGTTGTTGTTGTTTTCGTTGTTGTTGTTTTCGTTGTTGTTGTTGTTGTTGTTGTATTTCCCATTTATCGATCCAAAATGAAAATTTATTACAAAAACGATTATTATCATCATTATTGTCATTGATAAATGATTGTTCCAAATAATCAAGAAAATCCAACAAACGATTTTCATTGAATAATTTTTTCAATTTTTGTAATGATGTTTTTTGTTGATCGCTATCATCATCATCATCATCATCATCATTATCGATAATATCATTTGAATCAAAATCAAATCTTTGAATAATATTTTCAATTCTTTGTTGAATATTTGAATCGAAATTTTTTTGCAATAATTTCTTAAGATTATCATTCGATGATGATGATTTTTCCTGTTTTTGTCGTTGTTGTTGTTGTTGATCATCAAACGATGATAATTTTTGATTTTGATTTTTATTCAAAATTACACAATTTGCCATTGAAGGTGATGGTAATAAATAACCACTATTATTACTATTATTAGCGGTGTTGGTTATTTTTCGATTATTATCATTATTATTATTATTCGTAGCAGAATTTTTATCATTATTTGTTGTCGTTGTGGATACCATCATCATTATCGTCATTGTTTTGTTTTTGTTCAATTACAATTCTTGTAAATCATTAATTTGATGATTTTTTTTTTTTTGGTTCTGATTATGATTCGAGTTTCATATTTTTGAGTTTTTCATTTGGTTATCAATCGATCGATTAAATTTTTACCTGTGATCAATTTGCATAAAGCTATTTTCGATGCATCAAATTCTTTAAATCAAAAAAATCAAATTGAAAAGTTTCAGATGATGGTTGAATAATGTTTGAATTTTCAGTTCAATAGGAAGAATAGAAAGAGAGAAAACCAAAAAAGAAGAAAAAAAAGATAGCCACGCAAGCAATTTAAAAGTCGTCGTCGTCGTCGATATAAAATGCATTTTAAATGTAGGGGCCAATAAGAATACCGATACCGTTTTTTTATTATTATTCTTGTTGTATGGCGCCAACACGACGTTTTTTTTTCATTTCATCTTCTTTTGATCTATATCGAAATGATGATGATGATGGTGATTGATATATAATAATAATTTCGGCACACATTATTAGTTTTGAATGCGCAAATGCAACAAGATTTCCCCTTTATTTTTTTTGATATACATCGCAGAATCATTATTATAAATTTTTTTATAAAAAGCCAAAAATCATCATTTATTCAACAGGATATTGATATTGACTTTTTACTTACCGATTTTCATTCATTTTTTGTTTTGTTTTGTTTTTTCGGTTGTTAAATTATGAAAAACATTTTGAATAAAACATAAACATTTTTTTATTTATTTAAATAAATTTTTTGAGATAAAAAATCGAACGGAACAAACGTTCGAATTACCTTTTACCGGAAAAAATTTCAATTTAATTTTCATCTAAAAAAAAAAAATTTCCGGAAAATTTCCTGCCAAAACACTGAGAAAAAAACATTCGAATTTGCATCATTCATAATGTATGTTATGTTTGTTGTTGGCTGTCATAAACGCGCGTGGTGTTTCTTCTTTTTTTTGCCAATTTGCGGATCAAATTTAATTTTTGATGATTAAAATTGATTAAAAACAAATAACATGGCATCGATTGATTTTTTTACATTCGAAGAAATACGTAATCAACTTGATCCAATTATTATTGAAAATGATCGTGTAAAAAAACATAAATATGTATTACCGGGTGATTGTATTACAACGGATAATAATTTTATGCGTGGACATGGTACATTTCATGATGATTTTCTTGAAGAAGATGATTCAATCAACGATAATGATAATAATAACGATGGTAATGATGATAATGTCACAATGATTGAAAAACGTTTAGTATCATCATTGGCCGGTATTGTTGAACCAATTAATCGATTAATTTCAGTTCGTCCACTTCGTACTCGTTATGTGGGTGCTATTGGTGATGTTATTGTTGGACGTATTATTGATGTACAACAAAAACGTTGGAAAGTTGAAACAAATTCTCGATTAAGTTCAATATTACAACTTTCAAGTGTAAATCTACCGGGCGGTGAATTACGACGTCGAACCAGTGAAGATGAATTATTGATGCGTAATTATCTAACAAATGGTGATCTAATTTGTGCCGAAGTTCAAACAATTTATGATGATGGTTCATTAGGACTTTATACACGAAGTTTAAAATATGGAAAATTAGGACAAGGATTGGTTGTACAAGTATCACCATCAATGATTGCTAAACGAAAAATTCATACACATAATCTACCATGTGGAATATATCTTGTTCTCGGTAATAATGGATTAATATTTATATCGATTTCAACATCAACAAGTTCCAATTCAGGTGGATTTATACTCGATAAAACTTGTATACCATATGAACAACGTGAAAAAATTTCTCGTTTACGTAATTGTATTATGGCATTATCAACAAATAAAATTATGTTAGATTATAGTTCAATAATTGCTTCATTTGAAATATCGGAAAAATTAGAACTCGATATTGTTGATATAATGAAACCAAATTTTTCCCGAATTATTGCCGATCAAACACGTATTCATTTGCTACAATCTAATCTGATACAGATTTGATTTTTTGTTTTTTTTTTGTTTTTTGATTTTTGAAATCCGTTTTTTAAAAATTTTTCAAAAAAAAAAAAAAATTAAAATAACTTTTGTACGTATTTTATGAATGAATCGAATGTTTTTGTTTTCATTTTTTTTTTGTTTTGACCTCGCCATCAATCGTTCGAAACAAAAAAAAGGTGATTTTTCAACATCCAACTTGATTTGTTTCCATTGAATTGGATTTTGCCGATCATAATGAGTGGAACATTAAGATTTTGTATACAAAGTTTTGTAGTGAAAAATCCTTTTACAAAACAATTGCCATCATCATCGATTGCTGTATTAAATAATCGTATAGCAAATTTATTTACGGTTGCTAATCAAACACCGGAAAATGGATTTATTAAAACCGATCCATTCCCATATAAAACTAAACGTTATACTAGGCTTCATGTTTCTATGCCATTTTTGGATCCAACCGAAGTTCGTATGAATGCTAATTCAAAAATTATCTGTGTTGAAGGTAATATTGGTTCACGTAAAGATAAAGTTTGTGAAGGTATTGCTAAAGAATTTGGTTTTCATTATATGCCTGAACCAAGAATCGATGAAATATATATTAATCAAGATGGTTTTGATTATCGAACATTAAATCAATATATACATCCAAAATTGCATGCAATTGATGAAAAAATGTATTATGAAGATCCTAATCATCCGGCTGTACCATGGATGAAAATATTTTTCTATAAAATTCGTTATCAACAATATATTGATGCATTAGCACATATGTTTAATACAGGACAAGGTGTTGTTTTAGAACGTTCACCACATTCGGATTTTGTTTTTGCCGATGCAATGCATAAATGTGGATTTCTTCCCAAAGATGGTAATGATTTTTTGATTAATAATGTTTATCGACTAATAATGAAAACATTTATCATTTAAATAGCTTATGATTATTATTTTCGTTTACGTTATGATACAATTGTTCAAATGAAACGGCCACATCTTGTCATTTATTTGGATACGGATGTTGATGTTTGTTTGAAACGTATTAAGGAAAAAGGAATTGTAAGTTTTCTTTTTTTTGTTTTTGAAAAATTTTAATGTGATTTTTTCAACACAAAATAATAGCCCTATCAAATTAATAGTAAAGTTTTATGTAAAGAATATCTTGAAGAAATTGAAAATTCATATAAAAGAAAATATCTGGAAGATGCGGATAAATATTCAGAATTATTAGTGTTTAAATGGAATGAACCAACATCATTAAATGAAATGATATTAGCAATGGAAAATGTAAATCTTGATGATTGGGATATATTTGGTGATAAATTTCGTGATTGGAATTTTTATTTTACATCAATAATGCATGAATCAAGATATCGTTATACAAGTGAAAAACATGATTTAATTGCATCATTTACCGATACACTTGTTTATGATACTGATAGTCTTGAATTGGATACTAATGATTATGAACATCGTGATAATGTTTATAAAAGTTTGGTATGTTTTTTTTTTGCCTTGTCAAAAAAAATATGATAATTTAATTTATTTTTTTTCCTTCAAACCAAGGTACCCAACTATGGACAAATACCGAAAACATCATTAAAAAATGGTTTCCTTAAATCGGCATTCTCATTGCCATCACGTCGTGAAGAAGAAGATTTTTGTTTAAGAGCACCATTCTTATAATTAGAAAAAAAAATTTTGTAAATTTTATTTTCAACAAACAAAAAACGAAACAAAACAGAACAAAACAACAAAAAAATTGATTAAGCTTTTGAAATCATTTTGAAAAAATATGAATTTGAATTTTGTTGCAATTCGATTGGATTTCCTTGTTCAATCACCTTATTGATAAAAGTAAAATTGATTTGGGAAAAAAATTAATAAAAAAATGTTTCAAAATAAAAATCATAAAAATTTTACCTTTCCATTTTGTAAAACAATTAATTGATCACATTTCAATACGGTTTTTAATCGATGTGCAATCAATATAATTGTACAATCATTAAAATTTTTCTGTATAATATTCCAAATATTATTTTCAGTACGATCATCCATCGATGATGTTGCTTCATCCAATATAATAATTTTATTACGATGTAATAATGCACGTGCCAAACAAAGTAATTGTTTTTCACCGGTTGAAAATTTATCTTCATTAATCATTTCATTTAAACCATTTTCGAATGATAATATTTTATCTTTTAACATTACTTGTTCTAAAACTTGCCATAATTGTTCATCTTTAATTCGTAATAATGGATCTAAATTTTTCCGTACTGTTCGTTGAAATATTACAGGATCTTGTGGTATTATTGATAATTTTGAACGTAAATGTTTTAATGATATTGTTTGTATATCAATATTATCAATATAAATTGAACCGGAACATATTTCAATCAAACGAAATAATGCATATGTTATTGAACTTTTACCGGCACCTGTACGGCCAATAATAGCAAATTTTTCACCACCATTTATATCAAAACTAACCGAATCCAATACTAATGGTGAATGTTGACGATATCTTAATGAAACCTGTCGAAATGATATACGTTTTTTTGATGGCCATTCACCACCATTAGCCATTAATAATTGTTTTAAATTTTGATCATCATTCGATTCTAATTTATGATGTATAGATTTTTCTACTTTTATCAGATCAGTATATGTATTGATACGTTCAACCGAAACTAAACGTGTTTCCAATTCTAATGCTAATCGTATGACAAATTGTAATAAGCCGCTTAACTGAAAAATAACACAAAATTAATTAATTAATTTTCATTTAATTCAATAACAAAAAAAAAAATTACAAACCTGAAGACTTTGCGTGATAAGTAATCCAGCATAAGCAGAACCAATATAATTTAGATTAAAAATAACTAAAATTGTTATACATAAACTGGCCAAAATACATAAACAATCAATACGAATCGATAGCCATCTTATTGCACATTGATAATAATAAAATGCAACGATTTGTTGATCACAAATTGTATGAAAATTTTCTTCAAATTTTCTTTCCATACCAAATGCTTTGATTGTCGCCAGACCATCAATAGTATTATTAACAAAACTATAAATCGGTGAACGTAAACACATATCAGCCTGTTTCAACCAATACATTGCTTTACGATAATAACGAAATATTAGATAAAATAATATAATAAAAAATATGAACGGTATTGTAAACCAATAAAGCATTGAAATTATAATGATAAAATTTCCAATAACAATCAATAAACGTTGTAGAAAACCATCCAATGCAACAGGTAATTGATTATCTAATTCATCCATATTATGACTGAATAGATTGATTATTTTTCCAGCTTTGATTGTATCAAAAAATATTATCGGTGAATAAATAATTTTAGCCAATATACGATTATGTAATGTATTTGCAGCTATAGTTATTATACGAACAAACATAATGGCCATTATTAATGATGTAAATATAACAATTATAAATGATATTAGATAGATTGATTGATATAGTCGTAGATTTGGATTAATAATTATCGATGTTTCGTCTATTGTTGTTGTTCCATTCTGCAGTAATAATGATCCAGATCCTGATCCTTGATTTAGCCAATAACTAAGCCACCAGCTTGAAAATGTTGATGTTGCTGTTTGCATAATGAATATTATAATCATTAATGCAAAACAAAAATAACCACCACTTGATTGAATATATGTTTTATAAACAGACCATGAAATTGTTTTCTTATGAAATTTATTCAAATTTTTTGTTGTTTTGGATTTTGTTTTCGCATTATATTTTCCATTTGATTCAATATCATCATCATTATCATATTGTGCCATTAATGATTTTAATGAATCATATGAATTTTTTGTTGAAAGTTTTCTTATACCATTTTGATTATCATTGTTTGATTGTTGTTGTTGTTGTTGTTGTTGATATAATATTTTATCCAATGAATCAGAATCTAGATCCGAATCATCCGAACAACAATTCTCATCATCATCTTGTTGATCAATAATTTCCGATAATTTTGAATGTTGATCATTATTATTAGAAATTTTTGAATTTTCCAAACATAAACAATATTCATTTGATGTTTGCAATAATTTTGAATGTTTTTCAAATTGTTCAATTTTTCCATTATTCATAATGACAACAAAATCATCATCATTCAAAAGATAAAGATTTTTTGTTATAAAAATTATTGTTTTATGACGAAGAATACCGTTGATAATATTGTTGAAAATTGCTTTAACAACACGAGAATCTAATGATGAAAAACAATCATCAATCAAATAGATATCACTATCGGAATAAACGGCACGTGCTAATGCTATTCGCTGTTTTTGACCACCAGAAAGTTTAACACCATTTTCACCGATAACCGTATCATCACCATCGGCAAACAAACTAATATCTTCGATTAATGAACATTTCATTAATGTTTCATAATAACGTTTTTGATTCATTGGTAATTCGAAAAGAATATTTTCTTTGATTGTTGAATTTTGTAGCCATGGTTTTTGTGAAACATAGGCAATTTTTTGACTAAACAATCGTATTTCACCTTTGGAACATTGTGTTTGTCCCATTATCGATAATAAAAGAGCAGTTTTTCCCGATCCTACTGGTCCATAAAGACAAACATGATTCTTTTTTGCTATTGACAATGTTATGTCCGTTAATGATGATGAATGTTCACCATTTTGACCTGTCCAAATGAATGAACATTTAATCATTTCGATTGCATTTTGATTATCAATCATTTCATTATTGATTATATTCGATTTATGATCATCTTGTTTAAGAAATTTTTCTGCACGTTTCAATGCAACACGACCATTTACTATTTCACGAAAATAATTTGGTAATGATCGTATACCATGTGCTGCTATGTAATTTAACATTATTAATGAAAATGCCTGAAAAAAATGAATGAATATTTCTTAATGAGGAAAAAAAACATTTTGTCAACAATGAATACTAACAGTTGAAACAGTCAAATCATTTCCCAGCCAAGTATGAACCAAAATATTAATAATTGTAATTAACATTGGAGCTAAAAGTGCTAAAGATGTACTCAAACATTGTAGAAATTGATATCGTCTGATAATCGAACATTCAGCCGATCGACAATCTTTTCAATTAAATAAAGAAATATCAAAATTCATTAGAAAAATAAAAACTAAAATAAATCATTATAAACTTACGTTGAATTTCATTTTGAAATGGTTGTTCCCATCCATGGAATTTGATTGTACGACTAAATTTAACTAATTGATTGATTAATAATAATCGATAATCAGTTTGTTTCATTAAACGATTACGTAATATTGTTTGCCTTTTTATAATGATAAATTGTAATAGGAAAATAATAATAAACAAACTGATACCATAAAATGCTGATGTATCAATCAAAAGATATGTATAGATAATGGTAACAATAATAATAATCGGACTACCAATCATTAATGGTGACATATAAATCATTTGATATACTTTCCAAATATCATTGGCAAAAAGATTATTTGGCTGTATATTGGTCATTGTTGCTGGTGTTGTTGTTGTTGTTGTTGTCATCTTTGTATAATGTCCGTATTGATTTTTTGTCATTATTTTATGATAAATAATTCCATTCATTGCATTTACACAACGTATACCGGTACGAATACTGATGGCAAACATTATTGAAAATGATATAGCACGACAAAATTCACATAAATAAAGTGCAACGATCCATTTAAACGAACCGGAAATATTATGTACACCATAATTAACAATAATCGATTTGTTTGTATTATGGTCAACTATTTTAACATCAATAGTTTCAATCATTATAATAGCTTCAAGTTCTTCAAGTAATTTTTTAACGAAAAATGTCTTGAATTTTGAGAAAAAAGAAAACAAAATAATGGCCGTCAAAATACAAAAACAAAAGAAAAAGAAAGGAAACATACCGAACTTAGATAACCAGTTGCCAAACAAAGAATATAAACTAAACATGTCATAATAAATCTTGTACGAAAAAATCTAAATAATGTTGATAATAATGATACATTTTCGAATGATCCATTTCGTTCTGATTGTTGTTGCCAAAATCTTATTAAACGTATTGAATTTAAATTACATGAATCAAATGGTGAACATTGATTTAGATTCGATGGTAGAATTTTTTGTAGAAATATTTTTCGTATTAATGGTGTCATCCATGTAAAAAATATATATTGAAAACAATTAAGATTATCCATTTGAACGGCATGATGATTTCGTTGGATTTTTTCATCATCATCGTCATCATCATCTTCATCAATGTCATTATTACTATAAAAATGGAAATAAAGAAAAATTAATTTACAATCATCATCATAATTATTTGTAATTAATTTGTAAAACAAAAAGAATTAATAAATTACAATTTAAATAATGTCATTATTGATTGATTGATTGATTGATTGATTGATTTGGAAAACAGAAAATCCTAAATTTCTATTGACATTTGACACACACACACACACACACACACACACAACACTAGTACTTGATTCAAAATGAAATATTTGAAAAAACTAAATCTTTATCAACAACAACAAATTGGCAGCCAAAAAGATTTCTCTCAATGAAGAAGAAAATTATGTACTTTTTTTTGTCGTCGTCGTCGTCGTTGAATATATCTGTGGAAACATGATACTGATTTTTTTTTCTTCTTATAAAAAATAAAAAATATAGCTGTAGTTTTGTTTCATTCATTCATTCATTCAATCAATCAGTCGGAAAGTTATTTTTAATTCAATAACTTTCTTCGCATAATGTTTGATGATGAACATCACTTTTTTTATATAATTCAAAGAAAAAAATTTAAATTAGAAAATTTTTTTTTGAGTAACCTTACCGTTTGATAAATTGATAAGATGTTCGTAATGATAATTGATATTTTCTCCAACGATTATTGCTTTGATTTGGATTATCACCACCAGTATTATCATTAGCATATCGTATTGATCGGGTCATCGATTTTTGTCCATTATTATGACGTTGATTATCAATAAATGTTGTTTCTTTATGAATCCTATATATATTGAATGAAAACAAATATTATTTTTTAAAATGGAAATTCAAGGGAAAAATTCAAAATTGCTGACTTTTCATTTGATGAAAAAATCGAACGATTTTGTTTCGAATCATCATCAATGGCCATATTGATCATTTAGTGGGGTTAGTTTGAGCAAACTTTTATTTCTGGTTTCTTAATAAAAAAATCAAACGAAAAAAATTTATTGCTTGAGAATCAATAATGATGTACGGAAAGAAAAAATATTTTACAAGATTACATTTTTGGATAATAATCCTTAATTTTCTTTTTTGGATAACATCACTATCGCAATCTTTATCTTGGTTTCTCTCTTTTTCTTACCTACTTACTTACTTACTTGATTGTTATCGTCGTTATTATAATAATAATCATCATTCCAATATCGTTGCCATCATTAAAAGAACATACTGTGATCATCATACACAAATCGGTAAACATCACAAATTTTTTTTCACTGTCATTATCATTTTTTGATCGATTGATTGATTGATTGATCATCAAGGAAGAAGAATAATTCGATCTTCGATTTTTGTGAAAAGAATTCGAATATTTTGTTTTGATTTTGCAAAAAAAAAAAAAAAAAAAATTTTTTTAATTTTCAAAATGAACGCCATCTACAGTCCAGTCAGGGGGGGGGTTGTAAGTTTTTTTTTTTTTNTTATAATAATAATCATCATTCCAATATCGTTGCCATCATTAAAAATCCATACATGCATATGATACACAAATCGGTAAACATCACAAATTTTTTTTCACTGTCATTATCATTTTTTGATCGATTGATTGATTGATTGATCATCAAAGAAGAAGAATTCGAATTCGATTTTTGTGAAAAGAATTCGAATTTTTTTGTTGTTTTGATTTTGCAAAAAAAACACAAAATTTTTTTAATTTTCAAAATGAACGCCATCTACAGTCCAGTCAGTGGTGAGGTTGTAAGTTATTCTTTTTTTCTTTTTCTTTCTCCTGATTTTGTTTATCATCATCATCATCATATAGACGCCCATATCATCATTATTCATTCGATTCAGGAATAACTGAAAAAACGAACCAAAAAAGAAAGAAAAATTCTGGATCAACCAAAATAATCAGAGTGGAACCGAAAACATCATCATTATCGTATTAACATCATTATAAATCCAAAAGAAGCAAGCAAAATATTTGTAGGTGAAATCATTATTATCAATTTTTTTCAATGTTTATAATGTGATTTTTTGTTTCATTATTACATTAGGATTTCTCCTTTTTCTTCTTCTTCTTTGGTTGAAAACATCAATATTAAAATTGATGATTTTTTTTTTGTTCACGATCAGCGCAAGCGTATTTCGTATTTCATTTTGTTTTGGATTCGATTAAAATTGTTTTTTTCCATCATCATCATCATTGAAAGTGAAAAATGTTTAGATGTGCAATTCATTATTGAGTTTTATTATTGTTGTTGTTGTTGATAACCAAAACATTTCTGGTAAGTTTTAGTTTGTTTTTTTTTTCTTTCTCCCACAAGTTTTATGATCGAACGTTTTTTTCATTTTCTTTTCTCTGCAGTTTGATTTAGCCAATAAAACAAACGCATTTTCGAGCAAAATCATATTTTTTGATCAAATTTAATAATAATGATGATGTCCGATATTGAATTGAAGAATATTGATGCAAATGGTGATCCATTTATTCAACAACATTCACCACCATCATCATCATCATCGAATATGACTATAAATAATTGTAATAATAATAATAATCAAGAATCGATTTATGTTGAAACAGATTATGGTCCAATAAATGTTGTTCGTATTGGTGCACGAGAACATTCAGGAAAACCATATATAATTACCTATCATGATATTGGCTTGAATTTTCATTCAAATTTTCAGGCATTTTTTAATTATTCCGATATGAAATTATTATTAGAATCATTTTGTGTGATTAATGTAAATGCACCCGGCCAGGAAGAGAATGCAACAATTTTATCATCAGATTTTATATTTCCAACAATGGATCAATTAGCTGAACAAGTTGATTCTGTTTGTAAATATTTTGGTATTGCAAATTTTATTGGTCTAGGTGTAAGTGATTTTTTGATTTTGATTTTGATTAATTTTGATTTTTGATTTTTGATTTTGTTTTTCAAGGTTGGCGCTGGCGCCAATATTCTAGCACGTTATGCATTACGATATCCTGAATTAGTTGATGGTCTATTTTTAATACATCCAACATCAACACAATCATCATGGACTGAATGGTTATATCAAAAAATGAATATCTATTATCTTAGTTCAACTGTACAAAGTTTTTCACAATCAATGCAAGATTATTTACTTTGGCATCATTTTGGTATTATTAATGAAGATCGTAATCGTGATCTAATTCAAGTTTATAAAAATTATTTTAGTGGTAAAAATCATATACCAAGAAATTTAGCATTATTTCTTGATACATTTATTCGTCGTACTGATTTAAATATTGAACGTGGTAATCGTGAACAAAATTTTAAATGTAGTATATTAATATTATGTGGTTCACAATCACCACATGTTGATGATACTGTTAATATGAATGGCCGATTGAATCCAGAAAATTCAACATGGATGAAATTATCTGGTTGTGGTATGGTATTGGATGAACAACCACATAAAGTTGCTGAAGCATTTCGTTTATTTATACAAGGTATTGGTTATGCATTAACATCATTCGAACGAAGACGTTCATCACGACAACAAAATGGTGATTATGGTGATGATGATGAATATGATACATCGATACGTATGCATATTGTTGAAAATCCCATACAGAATTAATTTTTCAAAGAATTGTGTTATTGTTACCTACCTACCTATTAGTTTGGCTGAAAACAAAAAGAATTTACATTTTACATATGTTAAAAGCATGAAATTTTAATATTTTATTTTTTTTGTGTACAAATTCAGAATCAAAATTCTGTTGATGATGAAGGACATAGATGATTATTAAGACAGATATTACATTTAGGTTTAATTGGCAGACAAATTGTTTGACCAAAACCAACAAAAAGATGATTAATTTTATTCCAATAATTTTTCGGTAACCATTTTTCCAATTGTTTACGTGTTTGTTCTGGTTGTTTTGTTCGGGTTGTCCATTGTAAACGATTTGATATACGATGTACATGTGTATCAACAGCAATACCTGTTAATTGATTCCAACCAGTAATCATTGTTAAATGTGCCATTTTTGGACCAACACCAGGTAATTTTTTCAATTCATCAATCGTTTCGGGTATATCACTGTCATATTTTTCCATTAATATTTTTGCAGTTTGTTTTAGATATTCAGCTTTACGACGATAAAATCCAACCGGTTTAATTAGTTGCATTAATTCATTACACGAAATTTTATCAATAAATTCAATGGATAAATTATGTTGACGAAGACGATTCATTGCAGCATATGTTACCGGATCTTTTGTCTGACTTGATAACATTAATGCAACAAGGATTTGAAAACGTTTTTGTTTATCCGATATAATAATATCCGTATCATAACATTGATCACAACCCATTGTATCGACTGGTGCAATAGTTTTTGAACGCATTTTTTCAATATTTTTATAGATTTGTAGCCAATTTTTAGGCATTTTTATCGAATCATTACTATTATCTTCAATCGATGGCTGTTTCGATTTTTTTTCCAATATTTCTTTTTCAGTATGATCATCTGCAAAATCAATCTGAACATTTTTACGTTTCGAACGTCTTATTGATGTCGATGTCGATTTCGATGATGATGAAATCATGGTGATAATGCAATTTTGTTGTTTCGTCGCCAACGATAATGATGTTTTAGCAAAAAACATTTGATTTTTTCATCGCGATTTTTCCTAAAAAATGGATGAAAATGGAAAAAAAAGGAAAAATTCACGTGGTCATGTACATTATGAACGGTCAAATCGAATTCACATTTAAAAAAAAAAATGTTTACATTTCGAAGAGAGAATCCTTGAATTCATCATTTTATTGAACTCAATTTTTTTCTTCTTCTTTTTTACACACTGATATCAAATGTGAATGATCCTGGATCATCACCAAACAATTGTATATATAGCAAAAACATTCTATATCGGCAATTCTGTACGGCAAACAATAATGATTGTTCTGTAAAATATGATTGACAAAAAGAAGAAGAAAACACCATGATTGAATAGTCATAATGAATTTTTCTTGAATTAAATTCTCTTCTGTTGTGCTTAATTTTTGTTTGTTTGTTGTTTTTTTTATAACAACAATAACAACAACTTTAGTCTTTCAAATCCCTTTTTCCACTTATTGTTTTTATTATTCTTTTTGTTTATAATTTTTGTTATAATCTTTTTTCTCTTTTGCCAATCAATCAATCAAATCGCGCATAAATGATTTAATCAAAACAAACAAAATTACTATGGATGATATAGATGATTTTGATCCATTATATCAACTATTAAAAGAAGTACAATTAGAACATTTTTATCAAACAATCAAATCGATTGATGTAACAAAAGTAGAACATTTTGATAATGTTGTATTTGATGATCTGATTAATCAACGTGTTGGTATGGGTGCACCTGCAGCCAGACGTTTATTGGAAGCAGCAAAAAAACGTAATAACAACAATAACGGTAACAGTAATAAATGGAAAAAAAATCTTTTTCAAATTATATTGCCAAATGCAAGACTAAAATCTGAAAATCAACAACAACAACATACGAATATCGAACGTTTAAAAACATCAAATAATGATAATGATGATGATGATTTGAAAATATTTGATCAAGAAATCAATCAAAATAATGGTTTAACATGTTTAATATCGAATAAAGATATAAAATTATTGGATAAAATTGGTGATGGATCATTTGGTGTTGTAATGCGTGCACAATGGATACGAACAACATTGAATAAAACTTCAATGAAATATGTTGCCGTTAAAGTACTTAAACAACAAGAAATATTATCACGTGCATTAGAAGATTTTACTAAAGAAGTGAATGCAATGCATCAATTAAAACATGAAAATCTTATCCGTTTATATGGTATTGTATTATCAACACCAATGATGATGGTAACCGAATTAGCTGAACAAGGTTCATTACGTACAAAATTGATTCGAACACAGGGAAAAATACCATTCAGTATACTAGTCAATTATTCACAACAAATTGGTAAAGGTATGGATTATTTAGAATGTAAACGTCTTATACATCGTGATCTTGCAACACGTAATATATTCATTACTGGTAATGATATTATAAAAATTGGTGATTTTGGTCTAATGAGATCAGTACCATTTGATGAAGATTATTATACAATGAGTGATAATATGAAAGTACCATTTCCATGGTGTGCACTGGAATCATTAAAATATAGACAATTTTCACATTCAAGTGATACATGGATGTATGGTGTAACATTATGGGAAATATTTTCATTTGGTCAAGAACCATGGGCCGGTTTAAATGGATCACAAATCATACGAAAATTAGAACAAAATGAACGTTTATCATCACCAGATTCATGTTCACGACGAATATATCAGGTAATGATGTTATGTTGGAACCGTGAACCAAAAGAACGGCCAACATTTACAGCTATTGTTAAATTTTTTAAAATGGAACAACCATTCAAATTGAAAGCATTAAATGATTTTGATGGTCAAAATCAACAAATATCAACGAATATGAAATTGGATATGGCCAAAAAACAACCAATTTTAAAATTATTTTATGGTGATGAAATTGAAGTAATCGAAGGAAAAGCTGAAAATTATTGGTGGAAAGGACAAAATCAACGTACATTTGATATTGGTTATTTTCCACGTTCAATGGCAAAAGATTTACGTTCATTAAAATCGAATGATATAAGTAAACCATTGAAAAATAGTTTTATTCATACTGGACATATGGATCCAACGGGGAAAAAATCCTGGGGTAATCCAGAATTTATAGAGAAAATGTATCTGGAACATCCTATTGAACCACAAGATTTAATTGGTTTCGATCAATCGATATCATCGAATAATGATGATGATGATGATTCAATTTCGATACCGATTCTTGAAACTCGTAATGGTAATTTTTGAATTAGTTTTTTTCTATTTTTAATGATCAATTTTTTGTTTCTCTTGTTCTTTGTTTTTAGGACGAAAAAATCTAAATGAATTGATAAATGGTGGTGTAAAGATTGAAAAGATTTCCAATTTAAATGATTTAAATATTAATCATAATTTGGATATTGATCATAATCATAATCATAATAATGAACAAAAAGAAGGAATATTGATTGATTTTGAAAATGAAGTTAATCATGTTGAAATATCACCTGCTACAATGATGAATATTGTTAATGTTAATGTTAATCAACCGCCATCAACAATTGCAAACAATGATTTGGCTGAAATTAAATTCAATACACAGGAAATTCTTGATCTTTATAATCAAAAACCATCATCATCATTGATTTTAAATAATCAATTTGATTTATCCAAAGAAAAGGATAATGATGATAATGATTTATTAACAATATCATCGAATAATAATGTTCCATTGGAGCATCAACAACAACAACAACAACAAGAATCACCAAGAAATGAATCAATTTTAGATTCGAATAATTCGAAGAATAATTCTTATTCAAAATATTATATGCCACCATTTGATAGTCAACAATCAACAACGCAACAACAACAACAACCACCACCATATTCAAAAACAAGATATTATTCATCAGTTTGTACAACAACTGGAATTTGTGAATGTAATTCGAATTTGACCATTGATCCAACATTATCCGCAACAACAACAAGACCAAGTTGTCAATGTTGTCAATTTGATTTATCATATAATCCTTGTTTATCAAATTTAGCTAGCCAATTTACACCAAGTATATCTTCAATGAATTTTATACCACCACCACCAGCCGCATCAAATTGTATGATTACCACAAACAATGATCTTCAACAACATAATAATTGCAGTTTTTATAATAATCATAATAATAATAATCATTTAGCTTGTTCAGATGAAATGACAACATTATCAACTTTACCGATACCTCCACCACCACCTCCACCGCCGCCACCCCCACTATCACTACCATCATCAAAATCATCATTTCAAACAAAAATATGTAAAGATTTTATTGATGAATTGGAGGCAAATTTTTCTCGAACAAAAGTAGAACAACAACATTCCGAATTAACAACTACAAATGGATCGATGGTATATCCGATGATAAATCCACCACCAAAATCATATAAAACTCGTCGACCAGCACCACCACCTCCAATACAGAAAAAAATCTGAAATCAGAAACTTTAATCAATCCAATTTTGTTTTACGTGGAATTTGCAATAATTTTTTTCTTTTGACAAACTGCAATCTTATCATTCTTATTTAATCGAACATGATTTTTATCTGTAGTTATTTCTCATGAATTAAGAATCTTTTTTTTACATTTTAATAACTATTCTGTTCTTAAATTATAATTCAGTATTAAATCAAAATTAAAATTAAAAATGCCAAAAAAAACATTCGAATTTTTTTTTTTAATGATGAGTTGTCACCAAAAGATGGCGTTATCGGGTTTTTTGATTGAAAAATGAAACACGTCTGCTTTTTGTTATTATTATCATCACTGATGATGTTTTGTTTGTTGTCATTTTTGTTGTTTTGAAAAAAGATTCCGTGGATAAATTCATTCATTTGTGATCTCAATCCAAACAAACGACAAATATTGATGTTTTTTCCAAATGTGACCACCGAACGAAGATATTGACAGCAACGAAAACAAAACGAAAACAAAAATGGTTAAAATGAATCGCTCGTTAACGAACATCATAAACCTAAGCAATAGTATAATTGGTGTATCGATTTTAGCAATGCCATTATGTTTTAAACAATGTGGTATTATATTAGCCTTATTCATCATATCGTTCAGTGCCTTATTAAATTATTTTAGTTGTTATCTTTTACTAAAATCATCAATCATAAATCGACGAAGAAATTTTGAATTATTAGCATATGATGTATTCGGTACCGGTGGTAAAACATTAGTAGAAATTTGTTTATTATTATTTTTATTGGGAACATGTGTTGCATTTTTTGTTATTGTTGGCGATATTGCACCATCACTTATATCACATATATTCGAATTGGAACAAGGACCACAATTACGTGCATTATGTATGACATTTTTAGCAATGTTTATCATATTACCACTTGGTTTATTACGTGATGTTAATAATTTAACATCATTTTCAATGATGTCATTGATTGTTTATTTATTTTTGGCCTTACGAATGTTATATTTATCAATGGATAAATTTATCCTTATTCAACCGAATATCAGTATATTAAATCAATTAAATTATTGGAATTCATCATTTATCATTACATATTTACCAATATTTTCAATGGCATTATCATGTCAACCACAATTGTTTGAAATATTTAATGTTGATTTATTTCAAACAACCAAAACCGGTTCATCATTACGATCAATAATGCGTTCGATTAAAAAAGCATTATGGATTTGTTCAATTGTTTATATTATGATTGGTTATACTGGTTATATTGCATTTTATAATTTGAATTTTTCCGGAAATATTCTACAAAATTTACCATCCGGTTTAACAACCAAATTAACATTATTATCATTTTTAATAACAATATTAACAAGTTTTCCGCTTTGCCTATTTCCAAGCCGTACAAGTTTACATTCATTATTATTTCGTAAAGGTGTACATTATGATCTTCTTAGTACATCACATTCATCCATTCATATGTCCGATTATCATTTTAAATTATTAACCATTTTGTTGATTATAACAACAATGGGTATATCGATTATATTTCCACGTGTTGAATTAATATTGGCATTGGTTGGTTCAACAATCGGTTCAACAATTTGTTTCATAATACCGGCATTAATTTTTATCAAAATTTGTGATAAAAATACTATTGAATATTTATTTTCATATTTATTATTGTTTTTCGGTACGGCTATATTAATATTTTGTACAATGTCAGCCATACATAATATTTCAATGGCAAGAGATACGGAAATTGAAGAAAAAATTAATGAATTTAAACAACAAAAATTCAACATTCCCAATAATAAACATTCACAAAATGGTGATAATGATGATGAAAAATCAATAAAACAATCACCAATGGATATGAAAAGTCGTATAAATAATATAAATAAATTAAAAAAATCAATTGAAAATGATATGAATCGTTTAAAAAAACAGCAAGATATTTATAAACGATTAGAACATCAACAACAACAACAACAACAATCGAATGTGATTGGTAAAAAATCTAAAAACATTACAAACACTTTCGATAGAAAAATAATTATCGATCATCAATCAGCAGATAAAAAGATTATTAATGATAAAATTCGAATCAATCAATCAACAATCATATCGAAATCATTGTTGGGTGTAAATAGTAGTAGTATTATTAATAATGGAACAAAATCGAATAAATCTTCATTATCATCATCATCATCATCGGCTATCTCAACAATTCAACCACCGTATACAATTGATACGTCATTATTATCAAGTAAAAAACCAAGTAAATTTCTTACTAATTATGGTAATTATTCAATAAACAACAAAACTAATCATTCCAAAATCAACAATAATCATCATAATCATAATGATACCCGATCATCATTACAAAATCAGAAATTTAAAATGATGACAAACAATTCCAACAACAACAACAACAATAATAAATCTCCCATCAAATCAATCCTGAATGATACATTACATTCTTCTTAGATTTAAAAAATGAAACTTTGAAACTTTTTTTTTTGATTAAAAATCATTAAATTTTCTTCTTGTTGATATATACTATTTTTTTGATAATTCAAAAAAACAAAACAATTTGTTATTGTGATTTTTATTATATTTAAGAAAAAATAAAAATATTTAAATTTTTTACATTCAAAATGATCATGGTATTTTCAAGAATTGCACGTTAAAACCCGCGGGGAAAACTGTCATCATTTTTTTGTTGGAATTTTTTTTTGTTTTTCTACAGAATCACGTGACAAATTTAAAAATTTTTTTAATAAATAAATTTATAGAACCCGTGCTGCCATCTGGATCCTGGCAAAAATTTCTGTCTAAACGAATTTTTAAAAAAAAAAGGAATTTAAAAATTGTTGATGGAAAAAGTGTAAGGGTGGATGATCAAGGTCCAAAATTGTCGATAAATTTTTTATATAAGTCATATTCAGTTCTTCGAATCGATAAGATCATGAAGTTATCAAAGTGAGAAAATATCGTTTGAAAATATAACAAAATGATTATGCTGCCATAATGGTTGGTCCAATGAATAATGACGACGTAGGAATGATAACATTGAATATGATGGTCGATCATATGCTAATACTTTTGGATTGATAGACAATCGTTTTAGCATTAAATCGAATAATATTTTTCCATAACCATTACGTTTGAAACGGATATAGAAATCTGTAATGAAAACAACAAAAAATGGTCAGAAATTCCATTTCATGCGATATTAAAAAAAACATACCAAGTATGGAAGGACAATTGACTAAATGTTTCAAAGAAGTTCCATCATCAAAATAAAGATCACGTTTACCAAAACGAATGAAACCAATTTCTTTGAATTTTGATTGTTTCGAAACCAAAGATCTTGCAAACATTAGATAAATTAAATCATCATTAGTATCGGAAGTAAATTTGGTCGTAGTTGTAATCGGTATTTGTAGCTTTTGTGCTCTCGATGATTCCACACCCAAACGATCAATAATTTCGGATATAAATGTTCTATGTTAAAAGACAAAATCAATTGGAAAAACTTTTTTTAAAAAAATACCTTTAAATATTTACCTTGAAAATCCATCATATCGTTTGCCGGTGGTATTTTGATCAATAATCGATTCACATTTCAAGTTATGATCGATTGAAATAATAAAAATATTTCTATTATCATAATCATGATTTGTAATCATTGGAATGATTTTTTTCGAACGGAATTGTTTTGTTTTTTGTTGTTGTCAGGATGATAAAAATCAAAAGATTCGAAATTAAAATGTTGTAAATAAATGCATCAAGCAAGCTTTTTTTCTTGTTTTTGTTCGGTGGTTATTAGTTCTATGCCATTTCATATAATTAAGACTCGGGTGAATAATCGGGATTAGTAATCAATGGCAACATCTTTGTTTTGCGTAATAACAAATATATTGTCAATACATTGATATATCATTATAAGTTTTTATCCGAGGAATATTTTCCTGATGTGGAATGAAAAAAGTTTTCCGGAAACATTGCCAACGTATACAATAACAAAATAGTATAGAAAACAAAATTGCTTTTTTTCTTTGTTTTTCAATATGGATCTTGTTTATTTGATTACATTGTTGACATCATTTTTCTTTGTACTAATTGTCATTTTGATTGCTGTAAAAGGATTGAAAAATTCTCAAAACAATGGTGATAATGATGGTGATGATGATAATAGAAATGAGCAACGACAATCAAATCGAAGATTAAGACCACCAGGTGAATCTGGTCTGAGAAATCGTTTACGAACAAATCGTCAAACGATAAATCCTGATGATGATGAAGAAGAATTGGAAGAAATTAATTTCGATGATGATAATGAAGGTGTTGGTGATGATGATGGTGAAGATGGAATGAAAGAATTTCCAATTAAAGGAAAAATCGGAGCTAAAAAAGCAAGAAAACTTGAAATGAAAGCTGAAAAAAAATTAGCACGTGAACGTGAACTACAAGAACGTGAAGAACGTAAACGAATGTTGGAAGAACAGGAAAAACAAAGAAAACTTGAAGAAGAAAGAATGGCAGCCGAAGAAAAGGCAAAGGTTTGTATGATAAAAATTGATTGAAATTCTTTTCAAATGAAAAAAAACGAATAACTTAAATTCACCATTACAGGAAGAAGCTGAACGTTTGGAAAAAGAACGAAAAGCACGTGAAGAACAAGAATTATATCTGCAGATGAAAAAACAATTTACAATCGATGATGAAGGTTATGATGGTGATGAAAATGAAGAAGAAAGTCAGAATAAACTTCAAGTATTCATTGATTATATTAAAGAGAAAAAAGTAGTACATATGGATGAATTGGCGGGAAATTTTAATATGAAAACATCGGATGTTGTTCAACGAATCAATGGTCTATTGGAACAGGAATTATTGATCGGTGTTATTGATGATCGTGGAAAATTTATCTATATCACCAATGATGAATTGGAATCGGTTGCCAGATTTATCAAACAACGTGGACGAATATCATTAATGGAATTGGCCGAAAATAGTAACAATTTAATCAAATTGATTCCTGTTGAAGCGACTAGTTGATTGGAAAATTGGAAATAATTTTGTTTTTGTTTTTTTCAAATTAATTTTTAAAATTTTGTTTTTTTAAAAAAATAAAAAAATTTTCACAATGTATTACCATTCATGTCGAAATAGTGATAACAGCTCGCGTGTTGGATCACATCACGCGTGATAAAATCGTGTGAAATTGATGATGATCATCAATAATGGAAAAGATGGCAGATAATGAAAGAATATTTGGTCATAATGCACGACAATTAACCGATGAAGAAATTGATAAACTTAAATCCGATACTGAATTAATATCGGAATTTCGACAAAAAAAATTGGAAAAAGAATGTCGAAAAAATTGGGATCTATTCTATAAACGAAATGAAGATCGTTTTTTTCGTGATCGTAATTGGACAATCCGTGAATTTCAAGAACTATTGGAACTTAATGAAACAAACAATGATGATCAACAAAAATTACGTTTATTGGAAGTAGGATGTGGTGTTGGAAATTTTATATGGCCATTATTGGAAAGTGGATTACCATTTGAATTTTATGCATGTGATTTTTCACAACGTGCTTTAGATATATTTCGTAAGAATGAACAATTTGATCCAAAAAGATGTCATATATTTCAAGCCGATATTACCGAACCGAATGGAATTTTATCAAATTTCAAATCTGATGATGATGAGACATTGAAATTTGATTTTGTAGCGCTGATTTTTGTCCTGTCATCGATACATCCGGATAAAATGCCCCAGGCCATGAAAAACATATCGGATGTAAGTAATGAAAAAATGGAAATGAAATTTCCAAACTAACTAATTAATTTTATGTCAATTTTTTTCCCCATTGAAAAGATATTGGATCCCGATCATGGTATGCTTATATTTCGTGATTATGGTCTTTATGATTATTCAATGATACGATATTCGAATGGACATAAATTATCGGAAAATTTTTATGTACGACAAGATGGTACACGTACATATTATTTTTCTATTGGTAAATCTTTTATTCAATTATGTTTCCCTTTAACTTAACCAAGATGATTTCATTTTTATTTTTTTCCCGAATATCAAAGATGTAATGACGAAATTGGCTGCCGAATCCAATCTAGAAATTATACAATTAGATTATGTACAAAGAGAAACCCGGAATATAAAAGAAAATTTATGTGTACCAAGAATATTTTTGCAAGGAAAATTTCGTAAACGTAAAACGTAAATCATAAACTAATAATGAAGAAAACCTCCATAATCATTATCATTATCAGCAAGCCAAAAAAACAAACATTCACCGAAAGAGATAATGGAAAAAAATAATAACTTTTTTCCTTTTGTTGTTTTGTTTCAATGTCGACTATTTCGGCTTCCTATTGTTTTTTGGTTTGTGTTCCAAAATTGATTATCATTATCATTTTGTTTGTTTCACTTCCATAATGATTCGAGAATGATTAACCAAAAAATTGACAACAAACAAAAATGAAATGAAATGAAATTTTCATCAAAATAATGCTCCTGGCAACCACACAGAAAAACAAACTGTCAAACTACAGTCAATACGTTAATGGATTTTTTGGTGACGACAAACCAAACCAAACCAAACCGAAAAACCATCAATAATGAAACAAAACAAAACAAAAAACGTGACTATTTTTTGATGATAATAATTTTTCTTTCGGCCCCGAACAAACAAACAAACAAACAAAAGTGAATGTAATCGGAGGCGCATTCTCGACAAATTTTCGAAGAAGAAATATCATATAGAGAGAGAGAGAGAGATGATATCATATTCTTGCCATTGTAAAAAAATTATTGATGATGATCACTACACACACACTATATATTGGAAAAATGAATGAATAAAAAAAAACCCGAATAAATGCGGTATATTCGTCTGATAACAGCTTTTACTTTTTCTTTCTTTTTATTTCATAATCAATTCAATTTATTGACGGTAAGTTTCTTCTGTGTTTTCTCTCTTGTTTCGGGTAATATTTTAGTTTCGGATTCATTGATTCTTTGTTGTGCAATACTTTTTTTTTAATAATCAGAATTGGCGCATAGCCAACGATAGTCGTTGTTGTTTGTTTGTTTGTTGTAGAGAATAATTTTGGCTTGAAGAAGAAAGAAAGAAGAAAAATGTTCATATGATTTTCACATCTTTTTTTCCATTCAAAGTCAGTGAAATGAATTCAATTTAGTTGTGTTTTTCGTTTTGTTTTTGTGTGTTTTGTTCCATTCAATCGATTCATCAGAATAAAAATCTTTGAAAGTTTTCTTTGTTGTCCATGAAATTGATTCATCGTTATATCGTCGTTTTGCAAAACAGAAAAAAAATCCAAAAGGTAATTAAAATTAGAACTAAAATTGAAAAAAAGTCAATGAAATGTTTTACGTTAAAAACAAACGACCAACGACCATTGTCCATCCACTGAACAAACATTCGATTTTTCCATTCATTCCGCTTGTAAACATGGGAAAGAAAACAAAGAAAAGAAAAAACCTTATGGCAAAATTGTTTGTTTGTTTATTTACATCTTTTGTTTGTTTGTTTGATCATTGATATTGAACATTTAACGATAATGTTGATGGTTTTTGAATTGAAAAATTTTTGAAAATTCAAAAAAAAACAAAAACAAAATGGGATTCCACTATATTCACACACGAACATAGTTTGGGTTGATTTGGTTTGTTTGTTTTTTTTGGCAGTTTCGAACATTTTTGAACGTTCGATTATTTCATGGCTGAATGGAACACCACCACCACCAAAAAAATCATTATCATCATCATTATCGATGATAATGATGGCATCGTATGCATCATTAATCGGTGGTTTGTTTTTTCGATGTTTCAGGTAGAAGTAAATTGACAAAAAATTTCACTTCATGACATTTTTTCTTCAACTTTCAATCGAGATGATGAAAGGAAGTAAGTTTTGAAATTTTGTATTTTTTGAAATCAAAAAATTTGTCCAAATTTTCAATGTTGCATTTTTTTGTCATCAACATCATGATGATGACAATGAAAATCTAACCTTGATTTAATGATAATAACTTTGCTTCAATTCAATTCAATTCCTGTCCTTAATCACATCAATAATCAATCAATCAATCAATAATTATTGTTTGTTTGTTGTTGCAAAGATTTTTCAACAAAACAAAATTCATTTCATTTTGTATGTGTGATTTAGGCGAAATTGAAATGAATTTTTGGCTTAAAATTTCTAAATAATTCTTTCTACTGTTGTGTTCTGTTTTGAGGTCACCTGAAATGAATGATTGATACAAATTGTCGAATGTGAATTAGCATCGAACGTTGTATTCATTCGAAACAAACAAACAAACAAACTCTATTTTCGTTTGTTTTCGATGTTTCATTTTTTTTCAATTATCATCATTCAATTCATGTTATTATTTATTCATTTTTGTTGAAAAAAATGACACAATTTTTTTCCTATCTCTCCATTATTATTATGATTATGAATTTAATAATTGAAATTCTTTGGTAGGGAGAAAAAAAATCCGGTAAAAACTGGGATCAAACAACAACAAAACAAAACAGAAACGAAAAATGATTGAATGACATTTGCATACATTAGTTGATCCCGTTGATCGACATTTCTCTCTCTCTCTCTTCACTCTCTTTTCACTCTCTTTTTATGCTTGATTTCGACAAAATCAATTTGTTAATTATTTATTCATTCATTCGGAATAATGATGATGATGATTAAAATGTTGCAATGGTAGCTTCGAAGGAAACAAACAAACAAACAACACACATTTTCATTCAAACAAAAAGCGTTTATTTTTGTTGTTCAAAATTCATAAATAATCGATAATAATTATTGTTTTCTTTTCGTTTTTTTCCATTAATCAATCAATCAATCAATCGAACAGAAATTCAATCGTAGAATGATCATTGAACAACGACAACAACAACTTTAACGATAAGAAGAAACGAAAAGCATTTCTTGGTGATACAATTTTCAATTCCAAACACTTACGTTATGAACGATAATAAGTGATGTTTTAGCCATGATAATGTCCATATGACGACGACCCAAGTTTGACAATTTTTGAAACAAAAAATTAATGAGAAAAAAAAACAACAATTATCCAGATGAATCGTTTGGCTAAACAAATCTTAACAATAATATTGTTAACATTATTAGGTTGTCTTTATATTCAACATGTTTCGTAAGTTTATTTGATCCAAACAAAAAAATACAGAAAATTTTCAATCAATTTTGTTTCCCAACAAAAAAAAAATCCAGTGTTTATCAACAATCATCTTCGATTTTATTGCAACCAAAATCATCAGGTAAATATATTGATTTTGATTGATTTTTTAACATTTTGTTTTGTTTCGTTAACGTAGAAATTGCTCTAAAATCATTACCATTGACGAGAAATATTAATAATGACCGTAACAATAAAACATGTCGACCAAAATCAAATATAGTATTTATAAAAGCACATAAATGTGCATCATCAGCCATACAAAATATATTTATGCGTTATGGTTATTTTAATAAAAAAATATTTGTTTTACCAAAAGATGGTAATTATTTAGGACATCCACAATTATTTTCACGTTCATTAGTGCCTGATCCAAAATTATTTCATTCAAATTATAATATTTTAACACATCATTCACGTTTAAATTATCAAGAAATGAAAATGTTAATGCCAAATAATACAATATTCATAACTATAATACGTAAACCAGTGGATTTATTTGAATCAATGTTTCATTATTATAAATTAAATAGATTTTGGTCAATATCATTTAATCGATTTAATCGACCAAATTTATCAATACCAAAACGAATTAGACAAAATCGTTTTGTTGGAAAAATTGGTATCAATCAAATAATGTTCGATATGGGAATGTCGGCAAAAGATTTTCAAAATGATGATAAAATTGAAAAATTTATTCAATATTTAGATTCAATATTTTCATTGGTAATGGTTGCTGAACGTATGGAAGAATCATTAATTTTATTAAAAAATTTATTATGCTGGAATTTTGATGATGTTGTTGTTTTCAAGGTAAGCTTTTCTTCTCTTTTGTTAATTCAATAACAAAAAATTCATTCATTTTTCATTCTTCTTTTAATTTTATGTATTAGGTAAATGCACGAAACCGAAATTCCAAACATAAAATCAGTTCAACCGGTATCAAACATATTGAAGAATTGAATCATGCTGATCAATTATTGTATGATTATTTTAATAAAAAATTTGATTCAAAAGTTAGAAAATTTGGACGGGAAAAAATGAAACAAGAAATCAATGAATTACGTCGACGTACAAAATTATATTATGATTATTGTGTAAATAAAACAATAACGAAAAATCATATTATACGTTTTGTTAGTGATCGTGAAGATAATCTACAATGTCAATTTTTAACAAATAATGAATTAACATTAACATATTTTATACGAAATGAACAAATTAAACGATATCCATTATCAGTCTTCCAAAATGATTGACAACAGAAAAAAATCAAAATCAAAAAAATCAATTTACAAATCAAAAATCATCATAGTCAAATCATCAGGTGCCTTTTTTTTCAAGATTTCATCGAGAAAAAAACATATATTTTTAAATTTAAAATTTCTTTACAATTTGTTAAATTCTTTCATTCATTCATTTGTTGTTGTTATAAAAATATTTTTAAAATAAAAAAAAATTCAAATGTTTTTGGCGTGTTATCGTCGTCGTTGAAATTGTACGGGAAATTTTGCATTCAATTCAAATGGTTGAAATGCTTCAACAAATTTATCCAATGATTGAATTTTATAATGATCAATAATATTGATCAAAAAATAAACGTAATTGCATCAATGCATATTCTTTACCAATACAATTACGAATACCATTGCTGAATGGTAAAAATTTTAAATCTTTATGGTCATTATTATTATCATCATCATTGTTGTTTTAAAACGTTGTTGTATTAATGGATAATGACCAACTAAATATAAACACCATGATAATGCTGTTGTTGTTGTATCATAACCGGCTAATAAAATTATATTTATTTGTGAACGAATTTCATTCATTTTTTCATAGGAATAACAAAAAAAAACTATTGAGTTGTGATATATTTTCGATGAAATTATGCAACGATTAGTTTTTCAAATCATAATTATTCCAAGATGGATTGATAAATATTTCTTACCAGTCTCATTACAGTTTCACAATCCAAAAATTGTTTTTGGTTTTCACATCACCATTTATGTTAGGACATTTTTGCTTTGGATGAGCAATGATCATGTTCAAATCGAAATTCAGTCTATTTCGAACGATAGAAAAAAATCGAATGTTACAAAAAAAATTCGGAAATCGAAATGAATGAGAATCCGTTCATATATGACATGATTTAAAAAAACCAAACAACAATTTTATAGTCTGTAAGTTATTGTTTTGTTTTCAAATTTCACCAACAAAAAAAAAAAAAATTAACTTTTCGTGTATAAATTTGATTGAACAACATTATTATGTCATCATCCTCCTCGAAAAATCAATCTCCAAATGGGTGTGGCCAATCATCACTTTTGGACAATCATCGTGTCATCTCTCACCCTCACGGGAATAGTGGTGCAGGTCAACAATATTCGAGTGTGTGTGTGGATGGACATTCTCGGAGAGGGAGAGAGAGAAAAACAACAGCAGCAAAAAAAAAAACGTTCCATTTTCGTTCCAGAATTTCGTTTCGATTCCACATTTTTTTACCGGTTACNACTAATCTCGTTAAAAAAAACATTCGAAATTCGAATTCGAATTCAATAAAAAAAAAAAAAAACAGTATGAACATTGAGTTATCATCGAGTTGATCAGTAAAAAATCAAAAAGTCTGTCTGATGTATGCAATTAAAATGATTTCGATCATCGTTGGTAATAATTCCATTAATCCTTCATTTTTCGTGAATCTATTTAACAGTTTCAAAATTGATGGAATTATCAAAAACAAACGTAAACCATCCTTCTACTAAAGATTTCGAATACTCGAATAAAAGGAAAACTGCGTAGCTTGGAAAAATCGTAGAAATCGACGAGAGCTTGTTTTCAAAAAGAAAAAAATAATCCACTAAAAGAATCTTACCTCAACAATGGATTTTTCTAGTCGATTATGCAGAGTTGAACACTGATGACTGTTTTTTTTTAAACATTATCCAAATTCCAAATCGCTCATTACAATTTCTATTAAACTACATTTTATTCCAACTATTTCCGTTCGTTTCTTTACAGCAAGTTTACATTATTTTAAAGTTTGTTAATTTTTGTTAATTTTTGAAAAATAAATAAAAAATTGTAAATTAAATTGTTTAACAACGGTGGTGACATTTTGTTTGGTTATTTATTTTTGAATAAAGTTAAACAGCAGCGGATGAGGAAATTCAAAAAAAATAAACAGTCACATATTTTATGAATGGAACAGAAAAAATAAATAAATTCAGCATATGCATTTCGAAGAAAAAAAATTTGTTCGAAATTCGAATTCGAATTTCGAACAATAAAAAAAAAAATATCATCGGTGAAAGATGAATGGTACAAAAACAACTTAACGATTTGCGAATCCAATCAATGGCAAAATCATCGATGTTTCTTCAACGAAAATTTTTTTGTCAACAAAAGAATTATCAATATGTCTTTTTTTGAAAAGGTTTGATAATGGGTCAACTATGCTGTAGATTCTACAGTGTAGAACAAATTAGATTTTTATCTTGATGGTAAGTTTACTTGATTGAAAAAAAAAATTTTTTTTAACAAAAAAAAACTTTACTTATTCTCATCGATTCTAATAGATACTGAAATAGATGATGGAATTTTTCTATCGCCTAGTGGAAATATTCCCATGCATATCGCAATTTGCGTTGCTTGATATTTTCGTAATTTTCCAAGTCGAAAATTGACGATCTATTGGTTAGTGTCAGGAAGACAAATAATAGAAGAAATCATAAAATATTTGTTATGTATATGGACATTGACAATGAATAACGATACCGGACAAAGTCCGAAGATATCCCGGCTCTGCTTATTGTTAACCAGAAGACCATCAAGCAGTCATCAATGAACGAAATTCTTTCTCCAATTTGATTAAAGACTTTCTAAGATTTCGAGGTTTGTTTTTTTCTGAAAGTTTTTTCATTTTTGAATTTTTATTTCATCGTTGTGGTATCTTCTGATGTCGCAGATTGTGGAATCACTTTGAAAGTTCGTTTGGCTTTCGTAATAGGCGATAATGTTGGAGTTCGAACAATCGTTCGCAAATTATTTCGTCTGCCGGGTAATTCAGAATGATTTCAGTTTTTAGATTTATTTTCATCAAATAATTAAATTTTTTTTTGTAGGATGTGCGACTCCACTAATGATCAATCCATTCAAAAATTTTTCTAAGCAATACGGATGACGAATTTCACAAAATCCACAACTGTTCGGTATCGTTAGAGGGAGACTTTATTTACCATTTTGAACTGCAATATATTCAAGTTGGGGCCCCTCCAGACATTTTTCATGACAAATAGGATTTAGTGATAGGCGATATGTGTGCGAATTATTCACACAATGCCTAACAAAATCATTTTTTATCATTCAAAAAAAAGTGGAAGTTCTTTTTGTCGAATCCATAACGATAAAAATCGAGACATAATCATCAATGAAAATTATAAATACAGACATAATTCATCAATGGGGTATAAAGCCATAAATTCAAAAAAAATAATGAGCCAAGCTATTAAATTTGGAGGACAACAACGAATCATACAAATAGATGAAAGTTGTTTCTGATCAGTATCATCGTTGGACGTAGTCCGAATCCGATTTGGGTATTCGGCATGGTTGATTGCAGTATTGCGAATCCTTTTTGAATATTCCCACTACAACTATGAACATTCGAAAAAAATGACTTGCAATTTGAAGATTTTAAAATCGAAAAGTCTCTTCATTTTTTTGAAAAAAAATTGTTAATCAAATTTGAAGTTTTATTTTAAAAAAATAAACATTGAAAATGAATTGTCTAAAATTTTTTTCTTTATATAATAAAAAAAGTTTTCATTGAATAGTGAGATTATTAACAGGAATAAAAAACAAACAATTATCGTGTTATGACATGTTTTCGTGGAAATTATTCAACGATATTCCAAGATATTTTTTAACATTCTAATTACCGTTTCACAATCCATTTCAACGGGAATCGACGATCATTATTCATTCTTCGTTATTCAATTTTCGAAAACCTAATAAATGTAAAGATAAATTAAAATAGGCTTTTGGATAATAATATCAAGAAATACGATATACTTATCAAAATCCAATTTCAATTTTCGGTTTTCTCATTGTAATAAAATAAAATAGATGTTAATGGTTGGAAGACAAAAGAAGGAATAAACTTTATTGAGTATTAACGGATATTTATATTAATCACATACATGATTTAAAAAAAAAAAACCAAACAACAATTTTATAAACTGTAAGTTGTTGTTTTGTTTTCAAATTTCACCGAAAAAAAAAAATTAACTTTTCGTGTATAAATTTGATTGAAAAACATTATTATGTCATCATCCTCCTCGAAAAATCAATCTCCAAATGGGTGTGGCCAATCATCACTTTTGGACAATCATCGTGTCATCCCTCACCCTCACGGGAATAGTGGTGCAGGTCAACAATATTCGAGTGTGTGTGTGTGTCTGGATGGACATTCTGGGAGAGGGAGAGAGAGAAAACAACAGCAGCAAAAAAAAAAACGTTCCATTTTCGTTCCAGAATTTCGTTTCGATTCCACATTTTTTTACCGGTTACTTTTGGGTGCTGGTTCTGATTCTGCATGGTGCTGCTCAATGAATTCTGTGATTTTTAATTAGAAAATTTTGCCCTTTTTGTTTTTGGACTTTGCAATAACATCAATCTGAAATTATCAACATCAACAACATCTGAATCAATATCTTAATCAATTCAAAATTATTCTGACATTGAAATTATATTTAGAAAAAATGATTGAAAATGAATTCATGACGTAAATCTGTAATTATTGAAAAATTTGTAAATAATCTTCATTCATTCACCATTCATTAATCATTGATTGCATCACCATCATCATCCTTATTTGGTTTCTGTTTTACATTCTTTTAAACGAAAAGATTGCAGCTAGAATTTCTTGTTTCTCTCTTTAAGTAAAAATGATTATCATTTAGGATTTTATTTTTTTCAAATTGAATCTTCAAATCAAAAAGTACATTCCATTCCTTTTTTTCGAACGAATACTCAAAAAGACTTTTGCCTTCAGAAAATTATTATCTTAATTTTTGTTTGTTGAAACCAAAGATTATTTTTTCGAACAACAAAAAATGTTAACATTAACATCAAATAATGGTCTATTAGTGGCCATCGTTTCATCAATTGCTATTAATCGTATTAGTTTTATTCTAACAAATACAAAATTTATTTATCCAAAAAATGTTCAAGAATCAAATCAATCATATTATTATTGGCGTTATAGAAATTTTTTCATATCATTCATTCATGCATTTATAACCGGTGTTGGTTCACTTCTTTGGTAAGATAATGATGAAGAATGTTTTGCTTGATCTTTTGAAACATTTTTCTATTTTTTTCCAATAGTGTTTTATCGAATCCAATGCTTTTGACCGATGTAATCGATGCTGCTTCAGATTGGGGTTATCTTTTAACATCATTTTCATTGGGTAAACTCTTTGTTTGTTACTGTTTTGTTGATTAATTTCGTTTTCTGTTTGTTTCTAATAGGATATTTTATCTATGATACAATCGAAATGGCAGCCTTTATGAATAAAAAAGGAACAACTGAATTATTATTACATCATTTTTTAGTTATAGCCTGTTTTCTTAATACAGTTATCTATAAACGTTTTATTGGCTATAATATGTTAGCATTAATGATTGAAATTTCAAATATTTTTTTACATTTTCGTCAATTATTATTATTATCAAATTATTCAAAATTATCAAGCCTTTATCGTATTAATAGCGTTACAAATATCGGTATGTTATCTATTGATTTTTTGTTGTTGTCCCAAAAATTTTACAATTAACTAATTTTTTTTTGTTGTTGAAAATCTTTTAAAGTATTATTCGTATTTGTACGTGGTGCCTGTATGTTTGGCCTTTGGTATACATTAATAATATTTATTGATCGTTTACCATTTATAACAAAATTAACTGCAATCATTTCAATGATTGGTATATCTATTACAAGTATTATTCTATTTCGACGAATATGGAATTCAGATTTTGTTAGTATTGGAGAACAAAGATATCAACGACAACAACAACAACTACAACAACAACATCGACAACAACAACAACGAAAAAATTATCAAACACAAATCAATCAATATGATGATAATGATGATGAGGAAGATGATTTTAATTATGAAGGTTCATTGGAAAATATTGATCCAATAAAAACGATGAATTAGAAAAGAATCAACTGAAATTGATTAAATAAACGAAAATGGTTATTTTATTTACATTCATCATTATTATTATTATTATTATCATCATTCCCATATGAAAATAGAACAAAATCAAAAGAACAAATTCAAATTGATTCTCAACAAATAGATATTTAGTTTGTGTTTGTGTTTGTGTGTGTGTGTGACTCGATAAAAAAAAATCTTTACATTAAATTTTATCAGTATTTCATTAATTTGATTAATAAATAAATAAAACATTCATTCATTTTATAAATTTCGTTGTCGAAATCCAATGTTTTTTATTCTTTTTACCTTGTTTTTGTTTGGTTTCCAATGTTGTTGTTGTTGTTTACCATTATTATTATTATTATAGTGTATGATTTTTCGATAATTCAATAGTGGTACATTATTATTATTATAATTAACATCTTGTCTTGGATCATTATCATCAAATTCTAAATCAGTTTGTTCGGATGTTACAATAGTTTCTGGTTCATCATCATCATCATCACCGTTATTATTATTATTATTATTACCATTATCATTATTGCTTGGATCATTATATTGATTATCTAATGATGGATTTTCATGATCAATTTCATGAGAATCGGGTAATGGTGTTGAATTATCATCATTATCATTATTTTCATTTTCATTATTATTTCGATAATTTTCCGGTGGAGAATGATGATCATGGTTATTATGATGATGATTATGATGGTCATGGTTGTGATAATCATGATTATGATGGTCATGGTTGTGATGGTCATGATTGTGATGATCATGGTCATGATTATGATGATGATAATCTGGTGATCGATTTGATTGATAATCATCAAATGGATCACCAAATGATACCGATGCCGGTAAATATTGTGTTGATAGTGGTGGTGGTGGTGATGGTGGTGCAAGTGATGGTTGATAAAGATATGGATCACCCATAAATGAATGTGAATCAAAATCATTCGAAGATAATGGATAAAAATGATTCATACGAAATGATTGTGGATCATAAAATTCATTTTCATTCAATGGATTAGAAAAATCTGACCAACTCCATAATGATGGTGATGGTGATCTATTTATTGATTCTAAATCACCATTATTATGATGATCACCATTATGATCATTATAATCATCCAAATTCGTGTAAACAAATGGTAATGTATGATAAGGATATTGGCTTTTTTGTTTTGTTCTTGTTTTTCGATATCTGCTTGGTTGATAATACGGTTGTCGTTGTCGATGATACCGATAATCATCATTTTCACCATTGTCAACATTGGTGTATGGAACTGTTTGTTGCATTTCTGATGGATGATCATCAACATCATTATGTTTTGATTTTCTACGTTCACGATAATAAGTATGATAATGTGGATATGGTTTTGAATGATAATGAATTTCATCATCAAATTCTTTCATTGGTGAATGATCATTTATGTCCATTGACATTGTTGATGATAATGATTGTTGATTCGAAGGATGATTGATAAAATTCGATTGAATACTTTCTGATGATTTTAATTCATTTAATATTGGTTTCCAAAATGCAATATTTCTTTTGATTCGATGATGCTGTTGTAATTTTTGTGGAATTTTTTTCTCAATTACCGGTATTGGAATCGATTCATCACGATCATCATCATCATCGTCATCATCATCACGGTCATCATCTTCTTGATTTTCTGGATTTTCAGGATTTGATAAAGATGATGATGATGAATCGGATGGTGATTCATCTTCACCATCCGATTCATCACCACGTGGTTCATTTTTAGTTGCTGTTTTTGTATCAAATTGATTATCAAAATCATCACGTATATCTTCTGGATCTTGATCTGTTTCAGATTCTGATTCTGGTTCAGATTCTTGTTCTTTTTCATTTGTACTTGGTGATTCTGATGTTTCATTTGCATTACTATCACCATCATTTGGTTCATTATCCGATTGACTACTGTCAACGGGATTATCTTTTACATTGATTGAATCTTGATCATCTTTATCTTTATTATCATTTTCATCAATTTTTTCCAAATCATTTGCAGGTGATGATGATGATGATGATGATTCAGGTAATTCTTCAATATAATTTTGACTACCATCATTATTAATTTTTTCATTCGATTGAATTGATTTACGATGACGATTTAAATATTCAAATGGATCATATGGTAATGGATTATCATCATCTGGATGTTCGGTATCTTCTTCTTCTTCTTCTGGTTGTTCTTGTTGCTCATTTTGATCATCATTTGGATCATTATTATTTGGATCATAATTATCATCATCATCACCATTTGGATCATAATAATCATTATCATTATCATCATTATTTTCTTTATCATCACATTGTTCAATGTTCGAAGATGATAATGGTTCATTTGATTTTATCGATTTATTATTATCATCATGATTACCACGATTACCATTCGAAGATGATAAACAAGGTCGATTCGATTCGATTGGTTGTTGATTCGAAATTCGTTTTGAGTCTGCGCAATCATTATTTGGTCTATTATTATTATTATTTTCGAATTTTGACCAATCATTCGATAAATCGGATAACGTCGGTAAACCAAATGTTTGAAATTCATCCAATGAATATGTTGTTGGTGAAAATAATGGTAATGTTTGTGATAATAATGATAATGATGATGATGATTGTGGATAATTTAACATTGAAAATTCTGGTTGACCAGATAATAATGATAATGAATTTGGTGGTTCCAATGACAATGATAAATCGGGTAAAAATTGTTGTTGTTGTTGTTGTTGTAAATTTGTTGTTGTTGTTGTCGGCGATGGTGGTGATTGTTGTTGTTGTTGTTGTTGTGGTTGATTAATTTGTATATCCAATTTATTATTATGATCGGATAATAAAAATTGTGGACGCCAATTTGTATCAAATATATTCAATATTGATTCTGATTCGGTAAGATTATCATTTTTTTCAATTTTTTCTTGTTGTTGTTGTTGTTGTTGTTCATTTTGATTGTTATTGTTGTTATGATTCGAATGTTGATGATGAATATTATCGATATGTTTGATTGGATTTGACCAACATAGATTTAGATGTTGAAAAAATGTTATAAAAATAATAAAATATAATGGAAAAAATATATAGGAAAAAAACATTTTTGTAAACAATGATCAATATGTTTTATCTGAATGAATCGAATGTTTGTGTATTTGATGGATCAAAACTTCGATGATCTTCATTCAAGATCATTTAAGAAATATTGTGAATTTTGTCATCGGGAAAGCCAAAAAATTAAAATCAATTTCCATTTTCCTGTTCAGATAGAGTAAATTCAAGGATTGAAAAATCAACGAGAAAATGAGAGAAAGAAATTTGCTGAACAATTCCCGAGCCAGCGCACGGTAACATTACCGCGGTATTGTTCATTTTACAACCAAACACAAACGGGATTTCCTTGTTCATTTTGACAATGGTTTTTTGGTGTTTTTTTTCGGTGTAAAATTCAATCAATTTCAAAACAAAATTAAAAATTGAAATCAATTTTTTTTCAATTTCGAAACAAATTAAATTTTCTCAAATCGAATGTTTGAAAACACAATTGAAAAAAAATTGACAAAAACAAAAAACAAAACAAAAAAAAAACTTGTTGATTCGCCAATTATCATCATCTATTGGTGCGATGGATCGATGGTTATTAACCGAATTGACATTTGATTTGAATTTATGTCATCGAATCGAAGAACAGGAAATCATTATTATTAAATAAAGTTTCTTTGATAAAAAATTTATACATGAAAAGTTGTTCATTTTGAGCATTCTTATTTGATAGCATCGTATAAACGATTCATGCATGTGATTTTTCTTTTTTCAATTTTCATTTCTTTGATTTTCATTTTTTTCTCTCATCAAAAATGAAGAATATTCCGATAGAAATATGGATGAAAATCATTTCATCCATAACAACAACAACAACATCAACAAAAAATGATTTATTAAAATTAAGATTAATCAATCATCAATGGAATGATATTATCCTAAGATTAATTCAACCAAATTTTGTTTATTTTCGTTTTATAACACCTGGTTCAAAAAATTTTGAACAAAATGAACAAAAATTAAAGAAAATCGATGATAAAAAACATGATGAAGATATTCACCTGAAAATATTTAAAAATTATTGGCAAAAATTCTATGAATTTAGTAAAGAATTTTCAATTGAACATTTATGTTTTGAAAATTTTGAACAACCAATCAATCGAAAATCATTATTATTCAATGATGATGATGATGGCGATGATGATGATAATAAAATCATTCGAAAACAATTTAAAGAAATTATTGAAAATCTTGAATCTATAAAATTTAAAAATTGTTTAAATTTTGAATTATTAAATTTTGGTTGGAATTATATTTGTAAATCGATTGAACATTTACAATTAATTAATTGTTTTCTGATTAATAATAATTTTCATTATAATTATTTGGATGAAAAAATCGATACAATCCGAATTACAACGCTTGATTTACGGGATAGTCGTTTGAATGATAAAATTTTCTTTCAAATAACCAAACATTTAACCAGATTAAAACGATTAAATTGTTCAAATACTCGAATGCGTTTTTATTTTCATTTAATACGACGATCATATTTAATGTTGACCACAATGAAAAATATTGATTTTCAACCAACGACCACTTATGCATTTACATTTTGTTCAATTTTATATTATTTAAATCAAAATTCTTCATGTTGTTTAGAAGAAATTCAAATTGGACCATTATTAAATGTTGAAAATCTTATCGATTTAATCGGCTGTAAAGGTTCGGGAAAACTTCGTCGAATTCATTTATGGTTATATGAATTGGATTTTAATGAAAAACAAAAAAATATTGAAAAAAATTTTCAAAATTTTTCAAAAATTCAAATCGAATATCATTGTCTTCCATCAACAGATATTCGAATAAAAATTTGAAATAAAAACAAGAAATAATCGATATTGAACAATCGATTGTTTTGGAAACACACGTGTGTTTGATCGTTCCAAGTTTTTATTTTTTTATTTTTATTTTGAAGAAATATTTTCAACGATTAAAATGTTTTCCATTGAAGGAATATTACAAAAAGCATCGGATGATGAACTAAAAGCTCAACAATTAGTTAATGTTGATTCAAAACAAATTGATTTGACCTATGATTTGGCCCATTTGGCTGCATTCGATCCGAATTTATATCCAGATTTAAAAACACTCAAGTAAGTTTTGAAAACGATTTTACTATTGTGAAATTGAATTAATCAATTGAAACTTTTCAGATCAGAAAAACGTGAAGAATATCTAAAATCATTAACCCGAGATAATACCCAACTGATTATAAATCAAATTTGGAATTTAGAAACAAAACGTGTTGATAATATTATAACAGCAGTTTTGCCAAAACAAATTGTTTATAATCTACCACGTGCTAAACCAATTCCCAAACCAAAACCACCAACAAAATGGGAACAATTTGCTCGTTCAAAAGGTATAACGAAAAAGAAAAAAGAACGTATGGTTTGGGATACGGTTAGTAAACAATGGCGACCACGTTTTGGTTTTCATTCAATCGCACAACAAAAACAAGATAATGAATGGATGATCGAAGTACCGGATCAAGCTGATCCAAATGTTGATTATTTTGCTAAAAAATCCGAAGAACGAAATGAACGTGTTGCTAAAAATGAATTACAACGTTTACGGAATATTTCACGGAATTTAAAATTACGTTTACCCGGAACATCAGGTATTCTACCGAATTTGGATACAAACCAAACAAAAACTGAACAATTGATTCAGGCAAAAAATTTAACACAAAAATCTAATGCATCAATGGGAAAATTTTTCGATATTGATTCAACCATGAAAAAATCCAAACCCAAACGACAACAACAAAAACGTAAACGTAAAACAAATAACAACAAAAACAAAAATAAAAAGAAGAAAAAGAATTGAAAATTTTTTTTTTGATTTATTTTAAATAAAATAAAAATTGAATTTGAGGTACAGTCCAAATGAATAAAATTTGTAACGTGCAAAAGAAAAATTGATTTTTGATTTCTGATTTTTTTTTTACCAAATAATTCTTTGAATTAAATTTCCTTCACCATAACGAAAAGTTTTAAAATGAAAAATGAAAAATGTAACCAAATTCAGCGTGGTTATCCAAATGAATTCGATTAATAAACGGGTTAGGATTGTTGATTTTTCATTACGATCAATATTGACGTGTAAACGCCAAAATATGAATGGTGTTAAAAAATAACGAAATTCAATTAAACGTTGTGGTATGATAACCACAGCTACCAATGAAAAGAATAAAATTTTTCTTAAAATTTCAAATGAATTTTGTAATGATTTTTTCGTATCATCCAATAATGCGATTGATGATGATAATGGCCAATTTAAACAGCTAAGATCCAAAAGATTCCACATTGAAACGGCTGTTATTAAATATAATGGTAATGATAGATAACGTGTTATTGGTAGATCTGAACGATACCAAAATCTTTTCCAAATATAAAAAATATAATGACGATTATCAGCTAATAAATATGGATGTTCATATGTAAATGATGGTGAAAGGCAATTAGCCAATAGAATTGCGATCAATAAAAACCATGATGGTTTAGAAATAAATTGTCGAAATATTTTAAGCAAATTATTTCGAGTTAAAATCAAAGGCCATCCAAATAGAAATACAAATGTTAAAAAATATGGTATCTGTGCTAGATGCAGAACAGCTTGATGAGCATTACGATCACCCAATACAATTCCTATGTGAGAATCAAGATTTTTTGGTAAAAAGTCAATGTTTTACAGTTATATGAAACAAACCTTGATTGAAATAGATAAAAATAAGAAATACAAAACCATTTAGAATATAACCAAAACAATGCTGAAAAGTTTCAATAATCCAATCCAAAAGAAAACAGAATAAATAATAAGGATTCGAAAGTTGATGTTGATGTAATCGGAAACGCATTTTGATCGATCCAAATTCGAATAATAATTTTTTATAATCATAATATTGGCTATATGATTTGGCAAAAATCTGTATTTTGAGAGAGAAACAAACGGGTTAATCGAAGATTTGAAAATATGAAAAACAAACATACATTTATGGCCGTAATAGAAGCAAGAAAAAATATCCAAATAATATTTGTTTGACGAAACCAAAGCGAAATGAAACCGATTATGGATGCTTTGAAAATGTTTTTTTGATTTTGATGATAATAATACATGAGCACGGTGAAAAATATCGAACCAACATCAGTATAATAAAGAAATGTAAATAAAAACATTGGTGGCAGATGAATGATGATTAAAGTGGATAATTTTGTTACTGTTTGAACAACATTACGTTCGACAATTGATGATAAATTTTGTTGAAAAATTTTATAAAATAAAATAAAATTTCCAAATGAAAATAATATGTTTACGAAACGAAGCAATGATAATGATTGACAGAATTCATTTGTAGTGGAAAATGGTGATAATGATAATAGTAAATCGATAGGTTTCAATATAAATGTTGCAATTAGATAAAGGCCAGGTGGTGTTGTTATTTTTTGATCCCACTAAAAAAAGTGTTAAGTAAAAGGTTTTTTACTTTAAAATGAAATTTTATTACGATATTTTACCTTTGTAAAATTTCCCTGACAATATGAAATTGTTTGACCACGATGAAATTGTTCATCAATAAATTCTTTCGGCTGAATTTGATTAAACCATAATGTTGATATGATTAAACATTCAAGGAAATAAAATCCAAATAAAAATTTCGGATTTTGTATGGTTATCAGGATTTTTTTAGTTATTTCATTATGATTCGCTAACCATATTTCAATGGCTGTTAGATGTTTTTCAATCATTGACATACTATCTTCTTCCTGTTGTTGTTGTTGTAGTTTTTCCGATAATGATGATTGATTTTTAGTTAAAGTTGATGCCTGAATGGTTGAATCAAGATCATCAATTTCGGTTTCGATTGTTGAATCCAGATCAACATCATCATCATCGAATGAATAATCTCCAGGATGAACTAATGATTTTTTCTTTGTTTTTGATAATCCTGATGATAATGGTGGATCGATAGGACTTTCATTCGAAATCATTATTGTTGGTACAATATTTGGTAATAATATTTGTCCAGTACGACGATCACGTCGACGATATAACCAATTTGATGGTGATGAATCTCTAGAAAATTTACCCATTAATGAATGATGATTATATGATGGTATTGTTGTTGTTGTTGGTGTTGATGATAAATAACGACAATGATCAGGACAATGAACAGAATCAGGTGTTTGTGATCGTGATAATGAATGACGATATGATGATGATGTTGTTGAAAATCTAGATGATGTTTGATGATCCATTGATTTGATTTTAGCACGAAGTAAATGACATTGTGAACAATTACTTTGAGCTAATTTTTCTGGTGTTAATGAACGACGATTCGCCGTTGCCGTTGTTGTCGACATTGATGACTTTTCATTCGATGGATTTGACATTTTTAATTCGTAGTTTCTTAATCTTCAAGAAAATTCAGCTCAGCATTATTTATCATCGAAGAATTTTCTTGTGGCGAAACAAAATTCTTGCAAAATTCTTGCCAACATGAACAAACATGTGTTTGTTGTTGACAACACACGAATTGTTTTATCTCCCTTCCCATTTTGTTCATTGTCTTCTCACTCTAGTAGATGGCGCTAGTTTTTCCCCTCGAAAAACATTCGAATTTTTCGAATGTTCGAAAAATGTTCGCAAAAAAATCGCCAATCGACAAATTCGGTGATTTATGGCCACCATTATCATTTGCGGGGAAAAATTCAATTTTTGTTTTTTGTTTTTTTTTTGTTTTTTGTTTTTTGTTTTGTTTTTTGTTTTTTTGGATAATAATTGATTTGAATTTGCGAGAAAAATGTAAGTATGTAAAGTGTTTTTTGAATGCCATTTTGATTTTAATTCCTGAAAATTCATAGTTTTTTTTTCTTCTTCTTCTTCCTTTTTTCATTGATTCTGTGAATTCATTCATTCAAGTAATGTTCTATTATCATGAACAATAATCAATGATGATGATGATGATGATTTTTGATTTGTCTTGTTATTTTTACCACGATGATCATGGTGATCATTGTTCGAACGATAATCAATCATAATACTGGCAATAAAATCCGAACTGACATTGAAACAATGTTTTATATTCATATAACGTAATTTTGTCGTTGTCGTTGTTTTAACATTATCGTTCATCTTCATCGCTGTTGTCGTTGTTATTAAAATCTTATTATTTTTTATCGGCAATCTTAATCGTACAATCGATATCGGTATTTGCATCAAACTTTGTTGTTAAATTGAAATGAAAAGAAAATAATCCAAATTAATGAAGAAAAAACAAGTAAGAAAATGTTTTTTTTCGCTTTAAAATAAGAAAAATGATGCGAAATGTTTTTTCTGTTTTTTTTGTAGATGGATTCATCAACGAAATTGGGCAAAAAACAACATCGTTTTTTTCGAATCGAAATGATACAAAGTGAAACATCATCAATTAATGTTGTTTTTTCGTATTTGCTTCAACGAAAAACGAACGAAAAATTGTTTAAAATTTACATTTAATTACAAGTATCATCATCATCATCTGATATGGCGAAATATCGACAATTTATTGGTGGTGATGTGTGTGTTCAATGTGTTCAAATGTTTCAATGTCGAAACACGAAATATTCATTTGAAAAATGAAAGCTAAGAAAATGAAATAAATAATCTTTACATTATGGGGAATCGAATCGAATCGAATCAAATCGAATGTTTCGAGAAAAAAAAAACATTCGAAACAAAAAACTGATTACCATTACCATCACCACCATCACCACCACCAATATTTGATATTGGAGAAAATTTATTGAATTTAAATTCAACGAAGAAAAATGAATGAAAAGAACATCTTAAGGAAAATCAACAACAACAACCATTAATGATGATGATCACATTTGCCTTGATTCGAAAAAAATATGTAAAATTTGAGTTTTTTTCTTCTTTTCTGATGAAAAACGATTCTGTGTTTCAAACATCAACAAAGATTTTTTTATTGTTCCGAAAATTGCTGTTGGAAAACCCAAACGTTGGTCGATTTGAATTTCAATGAAATGAAATGAAATGAATGATGATCACCTATAGGTGGAAGGATGTGTGCGTGTTAATGATGATTTTTCATGCAAATTTTTTTGTTTCATTCATTCTTGAATTTTCATTGAATTTTTCATTGAAAATTCTTTTTTCCCCTTTCAAGTTTAATCGATTTTAATCATGCATTTGCAAACTTTTTTAAATTTTAAATTTAAATTTTTGAAAAAAAATGTATCATCATCGACAACAGCGAAAATGTCATGATCGAATTGACAATCAAGGGGCATAATCGTCATTTGTTATGTTGTTCTTGAAACAAAAACAAACAAACAAGAAAATTAAAACCAATCATCCATGTCATTGATTGGATTTAAAATTGAAAAAAAATCTTCATCTTCGTCTTCATCACATCCTTGATCCATTGATTATCCAAACGTGTTAAATAGTGAAACAAACAAAAAACAAAAACAAAATTAATTTTTTTTAAAAAGAAAAATCAAGGGCCCATTCAATTCATTGGATGACAATATTGTTCAGCTGTTTTTTTTTGGTTTCCAATCAAGGCCAAGGATGTTTGTGCAAGTGTCATTCGGTGTTAAAAATTCATTTAAAAAATCAATAAACAAAAAGTTTTTTTTTTGAATATCGATGACATCACCATTATATTCGCGTGCTGTTGTTTTCAATGGAAAGGGAAAATAATGCATAATAAATCATCATAAACAACAACAACAACAAAATTTACAAACAATTGTGGTCCTTCATTGAATTTTGTTGTTGTTTGTTTGTTTGTTTCAATATCTTGTTACAAGTAAAATTAATGATTGAAAAACTTTCATCTGTTCTGTTCTTTATCATCTTTATTCAAAAGTCAACATCAATTTGGATTCCTATTTGACTGTTGACATTTACACGCGTTTGACAACATTAATATGATCATGTTAGACATGGATAATCACATCAAAAAATCCTGAAAACATTTTTTTTGGCTGTTTGTTGAAATTAACACTTATTTTCTTTGGAAATAATTGTTAATTCTTAACAGGAATGTTTATGATCTCAGTTAATCTCTTCAGCTTACGCTGTCACTAGATTAGATTTTTGCTTTTGTTGTTTTTTTTTTGTCTATAGAGCTTGACCATTTAGTATCTTATAATAATCATTTTTTTCGGATGGACAGGATTTATATAAGATTTATCGTGGAAAATGGAATAAATTCTTTTCGGAGTCAAGCTTGATGAAAATTGTTTTTTTTTCAATGCGGATTTTTTCAATGAAACAACAAAAGCATGCAAAAGTCAGGAAAAAAGTAAAATTGAAATATGAAAAATATCAAACAAACAAACATACCCAGCAATACCATAATCGGTTATACGATAACAACATTGTAAATTAATCCATTGTAATTGTTTTAATAATTTTCCAATCATAATTAATAATTTATCATCAATTGAATATATAAATGATAATGATAATTTACGAATTCGGTTACAATTTGTAAATATTTTTAATAATCGAGTATTGGTTATATTCCAACAATGATCCAAATAAATATTTTCCAATATTGTTGTTGTTGTTGTCATCGATTTTAAACAACAACAACAACAAATTAATCGATCATCAACAGGTATAATTTGTTGTTGTTGTTGTTGTTCATGTTTGTTGTTGTTGTTGTTGTTTTTCATAATTATCAAATTAAAATTGAATATTTTTGCCATCAATGTTTCATCATCAAGCCAATATTGATAGGAAAAATTTAATGTTAATTTATACCTTGTTTGTAACGAAGGATTAATTGATGGGAAAATTTCTTTATGAACATCATCTTCGTTGGCATCTTGACTATTATCATCTTCTTCATTATCATCATTGTTGGTCGCTGTTGTAATTTGTAAAAAATCAATTATTTTTCCACGACGTTTTAAATATAATAAAATTAATTGATAAAATTTTTGATTTATAAATCTTTTTGTAAATAATTTATCAATTGGAATTTTATCGAAAATTTTTTCCATTATTAATTCATTTTGTAATATTGTTTCAATAGACATTGTTTGTTTTGTCGGTTGTTGTTATCTTTGTTGTTAATTCTGAAAGTAAAAACAAACAAACAAACTGATATAATAACCGATTCTTTGGACAGGTTTTTATACATAAATCCAGGTAATGTAGTGTGTGTGTGTTAATGATTTTGGGCAGTTTTCTCAGTTTCCATATTTGCTAAATGATGCTTAACATTTTTTTTTTTCGTTTTTCTTCTGCATATCATTCTCATAATCCATTTGGCTACGGTTGCAAAGAAATTTCAACAAGGAATTAGTGTTGTTATTAATCATCATCATCATCAACACAGAATATTCTTCTGTTATCTAACTGGAAACTTGAAAAAAAAGAAATATGAATATCATCTTCTTGTTTGCTAAACACCGGTAATTTGTTCCAAAAAATTACCTTTTTATTACCTTTTGTTTTATCGTTTATAATTTATTAATTTATTAACACCATCATTACCCTCATTATTATTAAAAACAGAAATTTTCCATTATTCATCATTTTGCATGTTTCTTTTTTTCCTCAATATTTACTTACCTGAATGATTATCCTATGAATGATTTCAATGATTTTTCTGTTTTTCAGTTTATTTACAATGACGCAAAACAAGATCATCATCCAAATGAGATTATTATTAACAACAGAGAACAGAAGCATATCAGATATTAATCATTGAGTTAATTTCAAAAAAACAAATGATGATGATGATTTATGAAATTTTAAAGCAATCAAAAATCAAAAATCAAATTCAAACGATTTCATTCATCGACATTGCTTTTTCCTGCACTGATTTTTCATTTTAAAATCACCGTTCAAAACAAAACAAAAAACAAAAATGCACCCGTCGATTTTCCATTTAATTTTTAAATTAATCCACCTTGAATTTTGTTTAATTAATTAATTTTTTTTTTTTTGGATTTCTGTTGAAAAGAAAATCGGATTATTTCATCCAAGAAAACAAAATCATTTTTTTTATTAATCATGACAAATTCAAATTCAAATCAAAATGAAAACCTTGAAAATTTGTAACAAGAATTGAAAAAAAAAAGATTAATTTATAATGATCATCATCATCATTGATTTTGTTTTTTTTACGTTTTGTAAAATAATTCCAATTAAATTAAAAGTTTTTTTTTCCTGTCTTAAATAATTCTCTCTCTCTCTCTCTCTCTCTCTCTCTCTCTCTCTCTCATTTGAATATTCATCAGGAAAATAATATTCTAATATGGCACACGCAACAAGGGAAAAAAAATATGGAATTGTGATTCGTGATGAACATCTTATCCGGCTGACATTCATTCATTCAATCTCTCTCTCTCTCTCTCTCTCTCTCTCTCTCTCTCTCTCATTTGAATATTCATCAGGAAAATAATATTCTAATATGGCACACGCAACAAGGGAAAAAATATGGAATTGTGATTCGTGATGAACATCTTATCCGGCTGACATTCATTCATTCAATCTCTCTCTCTCTCTCTCTCTCCGGAAGAGTTATCATTTTGTTTTTTGTTCTTGATTGAAAATTAAAATCTTTCTTTATTCAAAAAATTTTCAAATCAGTGATGTACTTCATCAGCCAAAAATCATTGCCATTAAAAAAAAACTTGGGGACATTTAAAACAATCATAATGAAAATTTTTTTGGCCGGAACATTATTTTCAAGGTTTTTTTTCATATTGTTTTTTCGTTGACTCGAAGAATTAACTAAGTGAAAAAAAGCCATTTTTCACTTAAATCTTTTAACCCTTTTATCGCCAACAACAAAAAAAAACATGATCATCGATTTCATTCATCAATTTCATTTGATTAATCCGAAAAAGAAGATCTATTAATAAATCTTGAAACAGAAGAAAAACAAAAAAAAAATGATGAAATTTTCATCATGATGAATTCAATGATGAAATCTTAATTTCTATTTTCGCATCTTTTTTTTCCTTCACTTTCCATTTCTCTCTCCCATTCGCTTACGTGAATAAATGGCATAATGTTTTTTTTTGCTTTTTTCCCACTATGAAAATGGATTCATTAGCATCACTTACACACACCGAATGCATGATCTGATCTTATGGACGAAACAAAACAAAAAACAACGATGAAACTTTTTGTTTTCAATTTTCCTTTCCCCATTACTTATCATGGACATTTTGGATATAAAAAAAATACAAACGAAGACTATAATGTGGAATGGTCAATGGTGATGTATGATGATGATGATGATAAAGTGAGAAAATGTTTTTTTTTTTGATCAAATTAAACTTGAAATAAAAAGAAGATGAAAAGCTTTATGTTGTTGTTGTTTTTACAACATTATCATCAACATTGCAAAGTGAATCTTCTTGTTGGATTTTTTGTTGTTTTATTGTTTTAAGATCTTTTTTTTATTTCTTTGTACTGGATTTTTCCACTGCCAAAAAAGATATATGTTTCCCTCTTCAGAACATTATTTTCCTACTGAATGAATCAATGATTGAAAATTGAAATCAGGATTTTTGTTAAGAAGAAGATCTTAGCAAAAAGAAGCAAAAAAACATCCTTGTTGTTGAAAGATCCTGCAAAAATATTGAATATTTAAATTTTGTTTTTTTTAAATAAAAATTTGAATTCAAATCAATGGAAAAATTCATATATTGATTCTTTTGGATTCAATAATGATCACATTTGAATGGATTAATAAATATGAAACTATAACGAAAACCATGCTTGAAATCATCTGCTGTATTTAAATTAATGATTTTCAAGAAATTAACAAGCCGGAATGATGACCATGAATTGTCGATCGATAGATGGATGGATGGATGGATGGATGGATGGATGGATGGATGGATGGAACACACGCATCTTTTTTTTCTCGATCGACGGAATCATTATCATACTTTTTTTTCCAAGTAAAAAATTGAATTGCAGCAGCCGCATCAATAAAAAAAAAATATAGGATGGGTCAATGTTGATGATCGCATCTTATCTTTGTGGAAACGAAATAATGCTGTTTGATAATGAAGGGCGTTCATTTATTTTCAATTTAACTTTTTTGGGGAAAAAAAAGGAAGAAGATTCACTATTTTTCTCTTTCTGAATCGATTGATTTTCCATAAGCTTTTGAAGAAAACAACAAAAAAAAAGTGAAGAAGTGTGAATTAATGAAAAACAAGAAAATCTGTTGCAACTAAATGAACGAAAATCGAAGATTAATTGAAGATTTTTTTTTTGTTTCCAGTTTCCAATATAAAAAGCCAATTGATTAAAAATTTGTTTTGGATTTTTGTTCTCTTCTTTCTGTCTCTTGTTTGTTTGTTTGTGTTTTGTTTAAGCTCGGGCAGCGCGAGCTTTGAATAATTTTTTCTTCAAAAAATCGCATCAATTTTGTTCCGTTTTTTTTCACCTGGTTGAGTGTGATTTTTTGAAATTTGTTTTCTGCGATATCCCAACAACAACAAAAAATGTTCCCTAAGGTAAATGAAAAGTGAAATAAGAAAAAATTGACGGAAAAATTTTTCTGGAAATGTGATTCATTCTTTTGCTTTTTTCTTTACTTTTGTTGAAAAATTTTTCCGGAATCATAGCCAAAAGTGATTACAATATTCAACATTCTGTTGGTGGTGGTGGCAAAATTTTCCAATGCAGATGATAATAATAATCAATGGAAACGTGATGATGATCAATGGTGGAAATCATATGAAATTACGTAAGTTTTTTTTCTATTTTTGAATGAAAGAAATCAATATTTAACGAGAAAAAATATGAATTTTGAATCAAATTTTTTGTTTTTTGTTTTGTTTTTCGATATAGACGAAATGAACGACAAGCATTTCAACAACAAGAAGGACAAATTGTACAATTAAATCAATTTGATGATCAAGATGAAGAACATACTTTGGCTGAAGTGGTTGATGATAAACAACGACCACAATTTATTTCAATACCAACCGGTCGTATACAACAACCATCACAAACACCAACGTTTGGTCAACGTATTAGTAGTGGTGGTCAACCAATATCTTCATTTACAACACAAACTAGACCTAGTCCAGCAGTTCCGCTTCCTGGTCCTGTGCGTCCATCATCATTAGGAAATCAAGATGGTGGTATTCTTTTGGTTGCTGTAAATGAAAATGATGAACAGCAATCAAATATACCAGCACCAGCTCCACGCCCAGTTCAGCCATCTGGTCCATCATTTGGATCTTTGCCAAGTCCAGGATTACCAGCACCAGCTCCAAGACCAGTTCAACCATCTGGACCATCTTCCTTCGGAACATTACCGGCACCAGCACCACGCCCAGTTCAACCATCCGGACAATCTTCCTTCGGAACGTTGCCAGGACCAGCCCCAAGACCAGTTCAGCCTTCTGGACCATCTTCTTTCGGAACATTACCGGCACCAGCTCCACGCCCAGCCCAGCCATCCGGACAATCTTCTTTTGGAACATTGCCAGCACCAGCTCCTCGACCAGTTCAGCCATCCGGTCCATCTTCTTTCGGAACATTGCCAGCACCAGCACCACGCCCAGTTCAACCATCCGGACAATCTACTTTTGGAACATTGCCAGCACCAGCCCCAAGACCAGTTCAGCCATCCGCACCATCTTCTTTTGGAAGGTTGCCAGCGCCAGCTCCAAGACCAGTTCAACCAACCGGATCATCTTCTTCCGGAACTTTAACGCGCCCAGCCGTATTTCCATCACAAACATTAACTCGCACACAAGCTCAATTCAATATCGAACAACAAAAAGATATCATTGATGAAGAAGAGAGCCCTATTCTTCTAATCCAGCCAGCTGGTCCATCATCTTTTGGAACATTGCCAGCACCAGCTTCACTACCAGCTCAGCCATCGAGACCATCATTTGGTGCTTTGCCAAGCCCAGGATTACCAGCACCAGCTCCACGCCCAGTTCAACCATCAGGACCATCATCTTTTGGAACATTACCGGCACCAGCCCCAAGACCAGTTCAGCCATCTGGACCATCTTCTTTCGGAACATTGCCAGCACCAGCTCCACGCCCAGCTCAGCCATCCGGTCCATCATCTTTCGGAACATTGCCAGCACCAGCTCCAAGACCAGTTCAACCATCCGGACAATCTTCTTTTGGAACATTACCGGCACCAGCCCCAAGACCAGCTCAACCATCTGGTCCATCATCTTTCGGAACATTGCCAGCACCAGCACCACGCCCAGCTCAGCCATCCGGACCATCTTCTTTCGGAACATTGCCAGCACCAGCTCCAAGACCAGTTCAGCCTTCCGGTCCATCATCTTTTGGAACATTACCGGCACCAAGACCAGTTCAACCATCCGGACAATCTTCTTTTGGAACATTACCGGCACCAAGACCAGTTCAACCATCAGGACCATCTTCTTTCGGAACATTACCGGCACCAGCTCCACGCCCAGCTCAGCCATCCGGTCCATCTTCTTTCGGAACATTGCCAGCACCAGCCCCAAGACCAATTCAACCAGCTAGACCTTCTTCGATTGGATCTCAATCAATACCTGCACAACCTTTATCATTACCCACATTACCATTATCTTCTGGTGAAGATTATGGTGTAAAAGGTGGTAGTAGTAAAACAAAAGGACGTGGATTTAATCCAAATTATCCTCGATTTAATCCAAGACAAAATCGTGAAATAACTCAATCTGCTTAATCCACACACACACACACAAACACCCTACTTTCTTCTCTCATTCCAATTCGATTTTATTATTCAATTTTTTTGTTTCTGGTAGGAATGTGGAATTTTCTTGTCAACTTTTCTAAAAAAAAATCAATTTTGAATTTTGTGTAATTTCCCGCCATTTTTTTTGTTGACTGCCGAACAATTTTTCTATTCAAAGTGTGTGGAAAAATGTTCACCACAACCTTTACCGCTTTTTCTGTTTTTTTTCCTTTTCTTGAATAATTAAAAAAAAAATTATGAAAAAGTCAAGAAATTTCTTCGAAGATTTTTCAAAGATTTTATTTTAAAAAAATTTAATTTTTTTTAGTTTTTTTTTTTGGTTTTTACATTTTTTTACTTTTCACTGATAAAATACTAATTTGTGAATTGAATGATGTTGCTGAACTTGTATTCGTTATAATTGATTCGAATTTTGAATTTTTTTTCGATATTGTTTTATTATCATTGCTTTTGTTTGTAGTATTGGATTTTTTATTCAAAATTTGTTTCTTTTTCATTTCTCTCATTGATGATGATGATAATTTTTTACATTGAATACTTTTCGATAATCTTTGTTGTAGTTTTGATTGTTGTTGTTGTTGTTGTTGTTTATCAATCGATTGATTTGATATTGTTCGATGTTTTGTTTGTTGTTGTTGTTGTTGTTGTTGTTGTAGTGAATGTAAACGTTGTTTTAATGTATGAAAACCAATTTTCGATACAGCACGACGAAATATATCTTCTTGTTCTAATTTTTGTTCCATTTTTCTTTTATCAATACGTATTGATGGTTGTATTGATTTTGGAAATGGTAAACGTGGACATGATGTTAAATTTATTGATTTATCATTGTTTGATTGATTACGTTTACTTGTCGAATTTGATAATGATCTTTCGGGATGTTGTTGTTGTTGTTGTTGATGATCATGATGATGATGATGTTGCTGTTGTTGTTTCGAATTACGATTATTATCAGGTGAATCAATACTTATCTTTTTTTGTGAAAAATCATTAGGTGAAACACTTGAACAAATTGATCCCATTTGGTCAATTTAATTTTCAATTCTGTTTAATGGTAACCAAATATTTATATTCTGGCCACTGTGGCGGGGAGAGGAGGGTTAATTAAATTAAAAATTTTACCCCCCAAAAAATCAATCAAATCAATCAAATAATTTTTAAAACAAAAATTCATTTTTATTTTATTATAATTAAACTAAAGTCGAATATCAATCAGTAAATAAACTCATTTTTGTTTCAGTACAAAAAAAAGACATAAAATTAGAAATCTGCACACCATATCAGAATTCTTTATCTCGATTGACAGTAGTTAGGATTGAGAAAAAAAACATCCATTTAGTAAAAGAAGATCAATATATGTTTGACAAGAATAATACACTCGGCAAGTATACAAAGTTTGTTGTTGGTTTTTTCAAATTTCTTCTGCAGAGTGTGTGTGTGTGTGTGTGAAAGTCATACGAATATAAAGTTTGTGTTTTGGTGTTTGAAACAAAAAAAAAAATAATATAAAGATATCTGGCCATCATCATTATCAGAAACAGCAGCAGCAAATAAGTCGGATTTCAAAAAAAAAATCAATCAATTTTAACTGTTGAATATATTTTTCGAACAAAACTTTTTGTTCCCATATAGCCAAATGTACCTGTGTGTGATTGAAATGAAAATTTTTGTTTTAAAAAAAATTCAAAAAAACAAAACAAAAAACATACCACACATGATACCCAATGCAATACTAAATAATGCCATATTACCAAAATAGAAAACCGTTTGAAATAATCCATACATTTTTGTTTTGAAAAAGAAATAATAAAATGAATACAGATAAACATAGATTGATGTTGATGCACCGGCCATAAAACTAGTCCATTGCCTGAACAATTGAATTTGGGGGAGAGAGAAAAAAAATCATCATTTTGAAATCAATAAATCAATGATCAAGAATCAACTTACCAACGATAATCTTCTGAATTAAGAAGAAAATATGTACAAACAATTGTTACACATGATGTTACAGCGGCCAATATTAAAAATACCAATAACATAAAACCATAAACATAATATATTTTATATGCCCAAAATGATGTAAATATAAAATACATTTCAATAAATATTGAACCAAATGGTAATATTCCGCCTAATATTACAATGATTGATGGTTCCATAAACCATTTTTTCTCCGGTATTGGTCGTGGTACGGCATTTATTCGACATGGATTATTCGATTGTCCAGATATATTTCTACCCAATACAGTACCAACCAATGTTAATGGTAATATTATAAATATACAAATACTAGCTACAGCCAACTAATTTTTTTTTTTGTAAAAAAAATTATAATTAAAATTATGATTACAAACGAATATCATCAATTCAATGATGAATAAATAATAAACTTACCATTGTTACAAATGGTATGGCACGTGATGCATGATAATACATAGCAATAAAATTAATAAAAAATGCTGTACCACAAACAATTAATGGTATTGAAAATGCTGACCAAAACATTTGTTTAATCCAATGTTTACCACCAAATTGAGCATATAATGAACCACCAAAATAACCATTTATTGGTGATGCAGCAGCATAAACAAATATTGCAACACTTAATATTGAACCACGACTTGTATAAAGATCACCCATTATTGAAAATATTATAACCAATAATGTAACGAATGCAATATGATAACCACAACCAATTACTAATGAAAATAACATTGGCATTGATGGTGGACGAAATACATCACCATGTACTTGTTTCCAGCCATATTCATCACCTAAATCACGATCCATATCATCCAATTCTTCATCACGATTATAACGAGCATAATCTTTTCTTAATGTACGCATTAAAATCATTGTTACTAGACCAACTAAAAATATAACCATCATAAATGAATTAAATATTGAAAACCAATGAATACGATGTTGAAAAAAATTTGGATCCAAATATTTATCAAAACGATCTTCAAAATGAATATTTGATTGTTTCCAATAAACATCATATGAAAATTCAATTTCTTCACCAATAATCAAACGTACTTTTCCTTCACTGGTCATATTAACATCAACAATTTGATTACCATTATAACCGATATCAAATTTTTTATGTGTAAATAGATAAACAATTGTTGAATCATTTTCATCTATATAACCAACTGAACCCATTATTGGTAGATCATCAATATACATTTGATATGAATAATAATTTTTGATTGCAAATTCAAATGCATTATAATATTCTTTTGTTAATGTTATTTTGCAATATTCGGTTTTTTTCATGTCAACTAAAGAAAAAAATGAAATTAATTTTATGTCAAAAAATTTTACAATTTTAAAAATAAAAACCTTTAAATTGAATATCAAGACCAGAAAATTCCAATTCAACACCTTGTATTGCTTCACTTAATGTTTCATGATAATGACTAATTCCTTTTTTAGGTCCACGACAAAATGGTAATGAAAAATAACCATATGTTTCTTGACGGTTATGATATGGACCAACAGTATTCATCCATAGAACAACTTCTTCACTATCTTCATACTTCATTGAAAATGGAGAAACAAAAAATTCAATTAGATCAACATTCATTTCATTTTCATAAATAAAATATACTAACAATATGTTCATGTTCATCACAGGCACCGAATGGAATTTGTGCCATCAATAACATCAAAGAAATAACGAATAAAAAACACGTTGTTGTTGTTGTTGTTGTTGAAGCTCTTGTTTTGGATAATGATTCTCTTATAATCATTTTATCATTATTTTTTTCATTATTTTGTATTAATTTTGTTGAATATAAAAATTTTCCATTCGATTCCATATTATCATTATCATCATTATCATTATTCGAAAACATTATTACATTTTTATTATAATGTAATAATTTTGTAGTTTTAGTTTTTATCATTTGATATTTTGAAAAATTATTTCTTTGTTGTTGATTGAATTTCATGACAAGGCACACACGACACACAAAGCAAGAATCGAATCGAATGAATGAATTCTAAACCACAAAATATGACGAAACTTGTTTTCAGGATTCGAATTTTATGATTCGAAATTGATTGATTCGAAATTTTCGGTTGTTATTCTATAATTCTGGATTTTTAAAAGAGATTTTCTAATGAAAATTTTTCAAGGAAATTCTGAGAATATTTACCTCGGTTAATTAACTGAAAATCATTATCATCATCATTGATTAAAGAAAAAAAATGGATTTTCAAAAACAAAAACAAAACAAACAAAAAAATACACGTCGACACCGTTATGATGAATTATGATTGGAAAAAAAATGGAACTTATTGATTATTATCGATTGTTGTTGTTTCGAATTTCTTAATGATTAGCTTAAAGTTATTTTCAATTTTTGTTGTTGTTGTTGTTGTTGAAAAGATCAATATTATTTAGCGCATCGATAGAGAGAAAAAAAACAACAACCTGAACAATATGATTGAACACGCCACCCAAAAAACAACAAGAGTTTTTTGATTTTTTTTTTCTTTTCAATTTAATGATTATTTTTTGATCAATCCAGAAAAACCAAAACCAAAACCAAAAAAATTGTTTTGAGCCGCATGAAATTATAAAGATTCTGCGCTAGAAAACAAAAATAACACTGTTATTGAGCTCCACGTCAGGCTAAAAAAGAAGAAAAATTTTTGTTATAATATATCGAGAGATAGGCAATAAATATTTGGACATAGCCTCTCAATGTGTATCCAATGATATCCTATTGAAATTCAATCGGGAACAGAATAAAGGTTTTTGTCCATTTATTTTTTTCCTCGTAAAAAAAAAACCATAACAGGATTTTTGAAGGAATTTTGCAATTTCATTTTAATCGCTACAAGATGGCTCTGTAATTCAACTTCTTTTTTTGTGTGTGTGTGTGTGATATAAGGGTATTTTTATTTTTAAAAAATGTTTGTAAAATTTTGTAAAAATTTTAAAATTTAATTATCAATAAAATTTAATATCTTCTAATGTATTAATAATCGGTATACCATCATCAGTATATTGTATTGTTGTTGTAGAGCTTGTTGTTGGTGATGTTTTTTTATACGAACAACCACCGTCGGTTCGTTTGATAAGACAAACACAATAATTTGCGCTCAAAGCGGCTTTTGCCTCTGAAAAAATGGAAATTGAAATTTTTAATTAGATTTTTGAAGATTCAAATGGGCAAAATCCTAATTAACTAGTTACCTTTATTATTATCAGTAATGAATAAAATTTTCCCTGGTGATTCACCAATTATTTGTGAAATATTCCAATATGATTGTGGATTACATTTATCGCCGATTGATGAATCGAAAAAATCTGTTATCAGCTATATCAATCGCCGGGGGTCAAAAAGAAAGAAAAGTAAATTACATAACCGCATAATCACGTGACCAGAATAATGATTGATTTACCGGCAAACAATTTCCATGATTAGTACAACAAAGTAATAATTGTTGTGCAGATACCATTGCCGAACTAAAAACATAAATTTTTATCTGTTGTGAATGTTTCCAATTATGTAATACGGTTGTAACTTCATCATAAACATGACCACGTAACAAACCATTTTCATAACCCCAAATCCATAATAATATTTGTAATTGTTTTATTTCAGACATACGATTACGATTAACAATATGTGTTAATGCATATTCGCTAACTGTTTTTACAACCAATGATTTACCGGCTGATAATGGTAATATCTGTGGATCTAAAATGACAAAAACATCATCAAAAATCAAAACATCAAACATCAATCAAAAATCAAATCAACTTACAATCCGGATAATAACGTCTTGTTTGTCTTAAACGATCAATCATTTCTTGACATTCATCACGATCAAAATGATCATCAAAATAATTTCGAATATTATTTCTTGTAAATGGTAATAATATATGTGATACAAATTTTATATCACTTATTGTACCTTCAATATCTAATATTATTGATAATGGTTTATTCATTGTTAACACTGGTGGCTGTTGTTGTTGATTATTACTATTATTGTTATTATTGTTATTTTGTGTTCTTGATCGTTGCATATTCGTTTATATAAACCAAGAAGAAATCAAAACGTTTTGTAACCAAAAAGTATCCCGGATCAAAAAAAATTTATTGAATTTAAATAAATTTTAAAAACCAGAAATTCAAAAAGTTCAAAAATTTAATTTTATTTCAAAAATTGAGTGAAAATAATTTTGTTTTGTAAAAATCAAATTACAATTCTCCCCCCACCACTTCTTCTTCTTTAATAACTACGACCAAATAATGTATAAAATTTAGCCAATTGTTTACAATCCGGATGTATGCATAATTGATTTTCGGTTAATTTTCTTGGCTGTTCCAATGGGATACATAATGATTTTGCACCCATTAATGGTGCACTACCACCACTTTCCAAAATATCATCTTTAGCTGAATCTTTTTTAATTTGATCTTCACATTGTTGTCGGCCACAAAATGGTGATAATATTATTGATTTTTGATCTAAACGTTCTAAAAACGTTGGCCATATTTCAGTTATACAAATATTATCTTGTAATATCTTTTTTGCACGTTCAAACATATCCTGTTGAATTTGTTCCAATAATTTTTTCATTTCAATATTTACATCCATTAAATTATAAAATAATTTTTCACCCGTATCTCTTCTAACGGCTATAAATTTTTCTTGTTGTAAATCTTTTGGTCCTAATTCAATACGTATTGGTATACCTTTCAGTTCCCAATGATTAAATTTCCAACCAGGTGAATGATGTTCATTCACATCTAATTGTACACGAATATTTTCATCCAATAATCGGGATTTCAACCAATGACATTTATTTAATAATTTTTCTTTTTCTTCTGGGGTTGTTGTTGCCGTTATACCACATGGTATAATTACAATTTGTTTACATGCAACACGTGGTGGCAAAACTAATCCTTTATCATCACCATGTATCATTATTAAAGCACCAATAGTACGTGTTGATATTCCCCATGAATTTTGATATGCATAACATTTTTCACCCGGTTTATCTGGATCTTCAAATTGTATATCAAACATTTTGGAAAAATTTTGTCCTAAATAATGTGATGTAGCACCTTGTATACCACGACCATTAACATGTACATATGCTTCACATGTTGTTGTCATTTGACCGCCGGCAAATTTTTCCTTTTCAGTTTTACGTCCTTTTATAACCGGTATTGCTAATAGTTTTTCATAAATATCAGCATAAAAATCTAAAATTGCATAAACTTCTTCCAGTGCTTGTTTTTCAGTTGCAAATGCTGAATGTCCTTCTTGCCATAAAAATTCTCTGGTTCGTAAAAATGGTGTTGGTTGTTTAAATTCCCAACGTACAACATTACACCATTGATTCAATCGTATTGGTAGATCACGATATGATTGTATCCATTTTGCATATGATGGATACATTACTGTTTCGGATGTTGGCCGTATAGCAATAGGTTCAGCCAAATCAGATGAACCAGATTTTGTTACCCATGCAACTTCTGGTGCAAAATCAGCAATATGTGTTTTTTCTGTTTCCAATGCATTTTTCGATATAAACATTGGAAAATAACAATTTTCAACACCTAATTGTTTAATACATTTATCAAAAAATTGTTGAATAGATTCCCATATTGAATAGGACCATGGACGTAATATATAACAACCCGATACATCATAATATTCAATCATTTCAGCTTTTGTTATCACCTCGGTATACCATTCAGAATAATTTTCATTTTTTCTGGTTTCAATACCTAAACGTGTTTGTTTTTTTATTGATTTTGATCCTGTATCTTGTTGTTGTTGTTGTTGCTTTGGTTGCTGCTGTTGTTTTGGATTTTTATTCTCTTTACCAGAAGATTTCGGTGGCGGTGCTGAAGATTTTTCCGTTTTTGTTTTATTTTTGTCAGTCGTCGACGATGATGATGATTTCGGTGGTTGATTACCCGATGCTGTTGATGAATCATTTGGTTTCCAATCTTGTCCAGTTTTTTGTTTAAATTCATTTTTCAATTTCAATAATAACTGTACTTCAGATTCCAGTTGTTTTTTCTCTACTTTTTCAGCTTTCATTTTACGAATTTTATCACCTTGTTGACGGATTTGATTATCAATAACGATAGCATCTTCATCACCACCTGCACCACTGTTTACCGGTATCGAATCATTCACTGCAGCTGCTGTTTTTGGTTTCCAATCAACATTCCAATCTTCACCTGATTGTTGTTTAAATTGATTTTTCAATGAAAGTAATTTATCAACTTCAATTTTAATCTGTTCTTTTGTTGCTTTCGTTGATTTTAATTGTCGAACTAAATCACCTTGTTTTCGTAACAAACAATCCAATTCAACAATCGATGTTTCTTTGTTGTTGCTATTAGTTTTCGAATTTTGAACCGTTGAAGAAGAAGAAGAAGAAACTGCTGGAGGTTCAATCCAAACATTTTTCTTTTTCCATTCTTGTATACGTTTGGGAAATATATTCAAATCAGTACTACCATCAGGTATTGAAATCAAATGAATTGGTCCTGGTTTACCACAAAAATCCACTGCTGATTTATCATATGGTCGATCACAAATAAAATAACCTTTTCGTTGAATCTGTATAATGCGACCTTTTGGTAAACCGGTTAAATCACCATCAACAAATGCTTCAATAGTCATTTTTGAATCATGATTTAAAAATTCTTTAAAATCATCATCTTTTCCAAGTACTGGTTTCTTAATAATATTATCATAATAAACCAATAATGCTGATATTTTTGTTTGATCTTCTAACCATGTTACTTTCATTGTTTTTTTAAAATCTTTATTATCCAAATTTAATTTTGCTTTGATTTCGATTACCGAACCTTCGGGTGAACGTTTCACATTGGTTATTTTCAAATTACCCCATTGAATAAATGTAACAATAGTATCCGGTTGAATAAGTTGTGCATCTTGTTGATCAATCCATAAACGTTTACCAACCGGTACTTGTCGTTGTCCTAAATCTAAATTTTTTGGATGTAAAGCAGCCGATATTGTTTGATTCGGTTGAATTTCATCATCAATCAAAACAGGAACAGCATCCAAACATTCTACAGCTGAATAACGTAATGCATCGGGATCAATAACTTTACGATTAAATGACCATATTTTATCCCAATCCATAACAACAACAGCTTTTGATGAACCTTGTGCAGCAATAAACATTTTCAATCCATCAACAGTTAAACCACGACGTAATATTCCACGAACTGTTGGCATACGTGGATCATCCCAACCATCAACTAAACCCTTTTTTTTGATGAGAAAAAAAATCAAAATTCTGAAATGGAAAACAAAAAAAAAATCTTGACTTACTTGTTCAACAAAATATGTCAGTTTACGTTTAGATAAAACAGTATGCATAAGATTAAGACGTGAATAAGCAGCAATTTTTGGTTTTCGTATTTTTAATGCATCACAAAACCAATAATATTGTATATCACGATCCATATATTCACTTGTACGTAATGCATGTGTAATTCCTTCAATACTATCAACAATTGGACAAGCAAAATCATATGTAGGATAAGCACGATATTTATTACCAGTACGTGGATGTTCTTGTGGTTTACAACGATAAATGGTTGGATCACGCATTGCACCATTATCAGATTTCATATCAATTTTAGCACGTAAACAATATGTTTGTCCTTTCTGCGTTCCATCGATCATTTCATTCCACATTTGTAAATTTTTTTCCATTGTATTCGAACGATTAATGGATTCAATACGTTCTTCACGTTCTTTTTTCATTTGTTCTGGATTAGTATCATCAATATAAGCTAAACCAGAACGTATCATTTCTTCAGCTTTTTTTAACATTAAATCAAAATAATCCGATGTATAGGTTTTTCGATCTGGTTTTATACCCAATAATTCTACATCACCTTCGATTATCTATTGCAAGTGAAAGAAAAATTGAGAATCGAAATATTTGCAAAAATAAAAAATCAATTTTACCTTTTCAAATGATTCTTTCTCCTTTTCCGGATTTGTATCATCAAAACGAAAAACTAATTGACCATTATATGTTTGTTGATAATGTGCATTTAATAATGCTGCTTTTGCATGACCAATATGTAGATAACCACTTGCTTCGGGTGGAAATCTAACAATAACTTGTCCATTTTTGGCACCTTCTAATTCAAAATATTTTCCTTCATCTTTACAGGAAATATTTTTCGAACTGGATTCTTTTGGCAATGATTCTTTAGCTGTCGACGATGTTGGCTTTACTTGAACCGAATCAATTTTAACATCAACGGGAGCAGGAGCGGCAACAACATTTTCAGTTTTTTTATTCGGTTCAACAACAATTTTTGTTGCTGCTGCTGTTGTTGGTTGTTGTTGTTTGGATTTCTTTTTATCTTTACCCATTGTTTAAAAATCGATTCCAGAAAAACACAAATAAAAACACAACGTTTAATGCAAATTTTCACCAGAGAAACAAAAAAAAAACCGAGCGTTTAACGATATTATCCTCGGACACGTGGAAACAAATTTTTTTCAATTTCTATTTTTGCAATCGAACAAACACTCACACAAAAAATGATGATGATGATTTTTTTCCACACCTGTGAAAATAGTTGCCTGATACAATATGTACAGACAACCAAAAAATAAAACGAACATATAGAGTGAAAATAGATTTTTGAAAAAAATACATTCGAAATTTCGAAGCTTCCATCATCATCAATCAATCAATCATCGTTTGTAAATCAATAATATTTTTCCATGAATTCTTTTGACAAAAATGAAACCGAAACATTCTCGAACATTTTTCTGTTGTTGTTGTTGATTGAAGTTGTTATTCAAATATAAATTATTTGACCACCACCATAATTATAAATCAACAAAAAAATAAATTGATCGGCCGTTCATTTCTTCTTCTTTCGATAATGCATCAAACATCTGATAATAAAACAATCAATAATATTGATAATGATGATGATGATGAACACATTCAACGAATAAAAGAATTAATAACATTAATGATGATGTTACAAATGGCTATATTACTAATTTATGCATTTCATTATCATTTTATGCAACAATCAAAACCAATTATAAAACATTGTCATTCAATTCGTTCAACGATCGATAAAACTATTGATAATAAATCAACAATAGATGATGAATCACAATCACCATCACCATCAACAAAAACAGATTTATCATTAACCGATACTGATAGTATTTGGAGAGTTGAAAGTTTAGTGAAAAATAAATCATCATTAACAAACTGAATCGCCCCCCGTTCATCATTATCATATTCATTTCAAAGCAAAACAAAAAAGCTTCAATTTTTTTATAAAAATAATAAAAAATTTCATTTCAACAAAAAAAAACACCAAATCAAAATCAAAATTCAATAAATTAATTTCATTTAAACTAAAAAAAAAATTTTTTTTTTTGAATGAAATGAATGAATTTTCAAATGTCGTTTTTCGTAATCCATCCATCCATCCATTCCATTCTACATTCACATCATCATCATTTTTCAATTGTTCGACATTACTCTACTACTTCGTTTACCAGGTGATGAACTTTTACGTTTTATTGTGGATGCTTTTGATTTTGATGTCATTGGTGATTTACCACTTAAATTACTTGTAATTCTACTACTTTTTGTTGACATTGTTGATGTTGTTGATTTTCTTGCTCTTTGTGATGGTTGTGTTGATGGTTGTTCACTAATATCACTTGATAATTGTCCAGCTGTTAATCTATCATCCATTGATTTTGTTGTTGATGATGTTTTGTTTGCTTCTTTTTTATTTTTTTGTTTTGGATAAACAAATAATGAACCATAAATTACAACACCAATTATAATTAATATTGTAATAATTGAAATAACACCTAATATAATTAATGCCATTGGTTTTTTATCATCAGGATTATCCGGGAAATCTGATGGTTTCCAAATACGTTTTGTATCATCATTACTTGGTGGTGTTAGAATATAATCTTCAGCACCTTCAGGTCTTTTTTCACAAAAAATTATTTCTGATAATTTTTTTGTATAAAATTTTTTCTCTAAATTCCATGTAAAAAATACAGATATATCAAATAGATAAACATTTGATGCATTTGCTGTAACTAAAAATATAAAATCATTAACAATAAAACCATAACGTATTGTTGAAAATATATTTGCTGTTTGACCACAATTTTGATCATCATTTGTATGTTGTAAACGTATAAGTGTATTATATGAATCAGTATGAAAACATAATTGTCCAAATTTTCTTTCTTTTAAAAAAAATACTGTATATGCATATGTTTTACGATTATGAACAGCAATCATTAAATAATTTAAATGTCCTTGTCCGGCTGTTGTATCGCTAAAAAAATCTGTTGTCCAAATCGGTATTACTACTGTATCGCTTGGTACATCTTCAGTTAATGAACTAAAATCATAAACATTTGTTTGATTAATATCTTGAAATAAAACATGATGTTTTTGATTATCAACAATATGTATGGTCATAAATGGATGACCATAATCAGTTTTTTGTAATGCTAAAAAAAAATGTTTCATTGTTCTATCATTTGATAAACTTGTTTGAAAGTGGCTATCTTTCCACAATTGATCATAACGTTTTTCAAATGAATCAACTTGACCATCAGATAAATATAAACGTTGTTTACGACCACTTGAATGTCTTTCATGAAAATATGGATAACGTATTATTGAATGACTTTTTGTAAATTGCCAAATTTCCTGATAAAATATACCTAATGATATTGTATCTTCTAATGTTTGTCCTGATTCATGACAATTTGATGCTAATACTGAACGTAAATCAATAATATTTATAACAACAATAGTAACGATAACTAGAAAAAAAATCATTTTGTTGTTGTTGTTGTTGTTGTTGAACGGAAACATAATCATTTTTGTTGTTGTTTGTTTGTTGTTGTTGTTGTTGTTTTTTTCGCTTTGGAAAACAAATAGTACAAAATTACAAATTACAAATGATAAAACAGAAAACAAAAACAAAAAAAAACTAAAACTCAAAATAAAAATAAATACAAAAAAAAAATCAATATTACAAATTTGTAAATTTTGTTTGTAAATAAATATCTAAATTTTTCCATTATTTTACAAAAAAAATGGGAAATAAAATTAATTATAAAAAATTAAAAATTACAAAAAAAAATTACAAAAAAATTATAAAAAAAATTTCATTTAATTTTGTAAAACAATCAGAAAAAGGCAAAAATCAATCAAAAAAAAATTACAAAATTCAATTAACGTTTAATGGATGGTGATAATTTTTTTATATTTGTTGTTGGATAATTTATCGTTGTTGTTCTTGTTGTTGGTGATGTTATTGATAATGATGATGATGATGATGGTGGTGGTGATTGTTTTTTGTTTGTTGGTTTGATGGATTTTTTCAACGACATTTTTATAATTGTTTTTTTACCACCAACACCAACACCAGCACCACCTGAACTGGACGATAATTCCTGTGTTCCCGATGATAATGATGAATCATTTATTTCACTACTGATTTTACTGCTTGATAAAACAGTTGATTTTTCTTTTTTAGTAGTTCTGGAACCTTTTGATCCTTTCGATCCTTTTGAACCTTTCAATTTTTTCAATGATGATAATAATTGTTTCTGTTTTCTATAGAAAAAAAATGCCCATATTGTTGTTGGTAAAATTGTAAATAAAAATATAGCCACTATAATTATTAATTTATATTTAATTATAAATTGATACCATGGTTGATTTAGATTTAAATCCGGTTTTGTAATACGTTTTTTTGATGATTGTGATGATTGTGATGTATCAATATGTTCAGAATGTTGATCAGCATGACAACTGAAAACATCTTTTATCGGTTTCATTTGCATATCTTTTTCCGTATTAACAAAATAAAATAATGATTGTGATATTTGATAAACATTTTGTTGTTGTATTGAAACTAAATATAATGTTTGCTTAGTTAAAAAGGCAAAATCAATTTGATCAATTAATTTAATTGTTGATTCACATTTAGTATCTTTATCAACATATGATATAAACATTAATTTTGAATGATGTGTATTTGGTACAAAACAAATTAAACCATATGGTTTACGTTGTAAATAAATAGAATCAAATACAAATGTTTGTCCATGTTTTTCATCAATCATTAACATTAGATAATTTATTTGATTCAAAACAATATTCATATCCATATCGGCCGACCAAATTGGTATTAATTTTTTAACATCATATTCTTCATTCGGTATTTGTTCATCAACAAAATAATAATTATTACCAGTTGATGATTGTAATATAATTTGATGTGTTTGATCAAATAATAAATGATAAATATATAATGGTTCCATTAATGATTGTTGTACAGCAAATGATAATTGATTTTTATGTTGAATTTTTTTCAATAAATCATTAAAATGATCATCATCAATCAATACGGGAAATATTTGTTCAATTTTTGATAAACGACCATTTATTAAACGAAATAAATGATCCGAATATTGTAATGAATATGTTGAAATGGAATCATCATAATTATATTGTATAATTGAATCATCAACAATACCCAATGAAAATGTATCATTCAATGTTAACCCTGGTAATGTACAATCAATATTCATTGATTGTAATAATGATAAATTTATTTTTAATAATAATATTAATATTATTATTATAAACATTGTTCTTGTTGTTGACATTTCGGTTGTAGTTTTTTTGTTTTTTGTTTTTGTAATTTTCTTTGTAAAAAATAGTAATTTTCTCACAACACAAAACAAAACAAAAAAAAATTATAATAAAACAAGGATTAAAACAAGAAATTCGATTCGGTTATGTTTTTAAATATTCTCCCCACAAAATGAAAAAGTAATTTTATTTTTTTTACAAAATTAATTTAATTATAAATTTTTTATAATTTTTTCTTTATAATAAAAATTGACAATTTGTATTTTTTGTAAAATTTGTTTGTAATTTATTCCAAATTCTTTGTAAATTATATTGATTAAATTTATGTGTAAATATTATTGACATTTGAAATTTACAATTATCAATTTCATTAATTTTAATACGATCATTATAACCAGGGAAATAATAATGTTTATAATCGATATGATGATTATTTTGCATACGTTGTGGTATCAAGCCGGTAATCAGTACATCTTCCCACGGTAGTGCAGGCATTGTTTCCAATATACCTGTTGCATAGGTTAATAATGAATTACCTGGACCACCGGATAACATCCAACTAGCATCAGTATATTTCGGATAATAAACATATGGATAATCATCGAATGATGTTGCAAATTTTGACCAAAATCTTATTGCTTGTGGATAACGTATATTACCATATGCTGATAATTTTAATGTATTTACATTTGTAGTTTTAGTTTGTCGTTCATTATAATCATTATTAATTTTCATTATAAATTTCATAAAATTATCATAATTTACTAATGAATCACCATCAATTTTATAAATATTCTTGACCATTGGACAATAAATTGCTGACCAACGTATTAAAGCCATTGATTTTATTGATAAACGATTATAATTTTCAATAAATGGCCATTGTATTAGATCATAATATTGGTAATATTCTTGTTCAATTTGTAATTGTTGATGATGTTGGGAATATCTAGAATAACCAATAGCAAAATATAAACGAATTTGTCTACTGTTTTCTTGAAATTTTCTAGCCCATGTTTGTCGTATTACTGAACGTAATTCAAAATCATCAGGTGCTGTTATTACAAAAATCAATGCTTCAAGATCAAAACCCAATGATTTTGATTCACAAATTTTTGCACCAAAATTCAAAAATGTTATCGGTTGAAATTCATTTAATTTTAAATTTGTTATCCATCCTTGTTGTCGTCGTTCATCAATCAATTTATCAATGGTTAAATTTTCGGGATAATTTAAACGAAGAATTTTGTCTAAGCTTGATGCAATCTTCAGGTGATAACCAAGTATGGTACCGAAAAATGATTGTGGAAAATCTTGTCGAATTCGTACGTCATCACCACCACCGGTAAAGGATTTTTTCCATTCCCCGAAATTTTCTTCAGTTAAATTGAAATTTTTAGCCATCGACCAATATTGATCGATGGCTGATGGTGATAATCGATTTGTTTGTTGCGGCTGTTGATGGTAAATCTTGATCAAATTTCGATGGATATCATCAACGTTCAACGTTAGTAATGACTGTTGTTGATCGTGGTCATTTGTAATTGATAATTTTATAATTTGTTTAACATAATTTTTCTGCACCATTTCCAAATCATACCAATGATATGAATAAAAACAAATTATAAATAATGAAAATATTATTATAAAAATGATTATAAATCGAATAAATCGATATGTAAATCGTGGAAAACGTGGCATTATTATAATTACAATTATAATTTTATTGTTGTTGTTGATGATGATGTCACACACGCAACATTACATTATAATTTTTATTTTTACAAATTTCAATACAACAACATTATTGACAAAAATTATAAAAGAAGATTTCTTTATTTTTTAATCTCGAAAATAAAAAACTATATAAATCTTATCAGTTACAAAATGTAAATATTTGGAAAAAATCTCCTTGGTTACTTTTTCATTGATTTTTTATTATTTGGCTGGAATTTGATGAGAGAAGATATATTTTATTTTTTCAATGCAATGTTGTTATCTGTTACCATGATTACTTGTTGTTGATAATTTCCATTTAGAGTTAGGAAAACCTTATGGAATCCATGTTTTATATCAAAGTTCAAAGTTGAAAGCCACATGTTCTATGGAAGTTCGAAAAAAGAAAAGGAAAAAAACGTTAAAATTCGAATTCAAAGAACTGGAAAACACAGCAAACAAATTACCTTGTGTGTGTGTGTGTGTGTGAAAGTCGAAAACAAGAGTTTGTTGTTGGTCAATAACAATACCAGATAAATGTTAAAAATAAACGTGTAAGTGCTTTTTGTTTGGCACGTTGTAGATCATCATCCGTACCCCAACAAGATAATATCGGTATCTGATGATGATTATGATTATGATGATTCGATATTGATGATGTATCAATGATTGCAATCAATTCAGCCCAATATTGATATTGATTTAATTGTGATTTTTCTGGATGTAAAATACAATTTGTTTGACAATGAATAATTTTAGCCATTTTTTGTATAAGATTATCAATATTTTCAATAATATAATTATCACATAGATATTTTTGTATGAAATTTTCAATATCTTCTTCTTCAGGTATTAATTGTTGAATTTCATTGAAAATTTTTTCATTTTGATGAATTTTTTTAAAAAATAAATAATGATTTGATTGTAATTGACGATTTTGTTCACGATTTTCTTGAAAAGCAATAATTTCATTACGAAGATTAAATGTTGAACCACCATTATCATTATTTTGATCATTTTTATTCAACGATGTATTTTTCGGTATACGATCCAAAATTTCATCAACTTTATCCAAATGTTCATCACGCAAAACGGTTAACATTTTTTCAGCTGCTTCACGTTTTGCTGATTTTTTTGATTTTCCAACACCACAAATAACCAAGTTCATATTTTCAATACGACATTGAAATGTAAATAAACGTTCATGTGGTAGGCCGGATGATTGAACTTCTTCATAGATTGGTGGATGCCAATGTTTTTTCATACAAATTTCCTGTAATTTTCCTATTGGATTTTCTAATTCTGACCATACAGCAGCAGCAGCTGAAGCAGTAGCATTATTACCTGCTTGTTGTCCTTGTTTATTGTTTCGTTCTTGATGATTTTGATTTTGATGATTTTGTTGTTGTTGCTGCTGTTGATCACCATTAATAGATAATCCGGTTAATTGTTGATTCAATAAATCAATATTATGTTTATTTTCAATAATATCCAATGATTCATCAACATCTTTTAAACTTTCAATAATTTGATTACGATCTTCTTTGATAACAATATTTGGATCATTGAATAATTTTAAAATCATTTTTTTCGCAGCTAAATGTTTAGCTTTTTTCTTCGATTGTCCTGATGCTTCTTCCAAATGTTGATTAACTTGTACACGAAATGTAAATGTTGGTAAATGTACTTGTCCTTCTCGAGATAATAATGTATAATCAGCTTTTGTATTATTATGTATACAAATTACATGTAATAATGATATTGGTGTATCCATTTTTTATAAAATAATTAAATAAAACTTTTTAAAAAAACTTTAAAAACAAAATTTTTAAAAACACAAAACATTCGATCGATTTCACTCGATGTTTGATCACAAACACATGATGATAATGGCATGACTAACGCCATCTAGGGTTTTATGTTTTTCTTTTCAATAAACGTCCTATTTGTACGGTTTCAGCGCGAGATGAGCGCGTTTTTTTCCATTTTTCGTATTTGATTTGATAAAAGTTTTTTTTTTCATTTGAATTTTCAATCAAAAAAATTCGGGAAAAAACAATAAAATGGATAAAGAATCAATCAAACGTCAACATATCGTAAATATATTGAAAAATCTTAATTTCGAATCATTTTTGAAAAAATATTCACCAAAAACTGTTATAACAAGGTCGGTAAAATTATGGTTTTTTGTTCGTTGTTTTTGAAATTAATAAATCTTTTTTTACAAATAGCCAATCATTTGATAAACTCACGACATTACAATTCAATTTATTTTGTTATTTTCTTTTTTTTCGTATAAATCCGGAATCATGTCATTTACGTTTTCGTGGTGTATTTCCATCACGTGATGTACAACAAGAATCAGAATTTCGTCGTCTGGCCATTGAAACTATTAATGATTTTGCTGATCGTAATCAAGAACGATTGATAAAATTGAAAAAAATCCCTGCCATACATTATCAACGTTTATCTGGAATTGTTTTTGTTGAACAAATGTTTAATTTAGCACTTTTTGCTTTATTCAAATATACTTCAAAACAAAAATTTCAATCAGCCACCAAAGAATTGAATGAATTTAATGATTCGATTGATAAACGTGAAGAATTCGTCCGACAACAATCTATTGATGAATATCAAAACGAACTAAAACAATCGGAAGAACAAATTTGTTTGTTCATCAAAGATTATCAAGAAAAAATCACTGAACTAAATTCCAAACTATCGAATTTACATGAATATGGTTGTTCATTGAATGAATTGAAAATTATAAATGAAAATTTATCGATAAAATTATCAAAAATTAATGATAATTTACAAAAAATGTTATTACATTGGAATGAAATTCTTTCATCAAATGAATCGATTCGTTCGTTGACAAATAATCAAGATCAATCAAATCTGATAAATTTATCAACAACATTCATCTGGAATCTTAGTGAATCGATGAAAGAATATGAAAAATTTGTTCGAATTGATAAATCGAACGCAACGAAATGGTTACAAACATTCGAACATTTCAGTCAATTAAATGAAACTGTTCGAAAAATTGAAACAAAATTACAGGAAATTTCAAAAAAATTTGAAAAAATTGAACAAGAAAAAATGGAAATATTATCCAATGATTTGGTTAAACAAATTGGTAATCATATTGAAAATTATGTTGAAAATTTATTAAATTTAAATTTTCAATTAAAAATTGATTATTGATGAGGTAGAAAAATGAAAATAAAATGAATTTTTTTGGTTGATTTTTACAAAAATGAATCGAATGATGGTTGTTTTGACTTAGATGTTTTTCTGGTTTTTTTGATCTTTTCGATGAACAAAACGATCACAATGAACGTCCACGCCAACGTTTTCGTCGTTCACCAAGACCATCCGATTGGCCATCATCATTTTCATCGTTGCCATTCTGCCAATTTGATGATGATGACGATAAACATTCATCAAAATTCTTTGTTTCAACATAAATTTGTTCATAATTTAATTGATTTTTACGTCCTTTTATCTGTATCATAAATATATATTGTCGTCCGGGTTGTAATTTTTTTATCTGTTGCATTATTAAATCATTATTAATACGTTTTTGTGTTCGATATCTGCGATAGGTTTTGGGCAAAAAAAAATATTTTTACAAAATTGAAAATTTTCTTGAAAAAAATTCTTTACACACAAACCTTCGACAAAGAACTTTACGTGTTGGATATGAATGTTCATTTTGATAACGATCATTCCAATAAATCATATCATCTAAATCATTATTTTGACTAGAACTTTGTCTATCAATTGTTGATGGCGGTGGTGATTTAATTTTTTGACAAAAATTTTTCGATTCTTCAAAACTATGACCATATTTTGCATCACGTTGCAGTATACAATATGTAACACGTTCATCGGGTGATGCATTCCAAACCAATGTTATTGAATCACATTGTTTTAATGTTTCCATTACCTAAGTGTTTTTGGTTTTTTAAAAAAAATGATTATCATTAAAACAACAACAACAATGGTAAAATCTTACCCGAATAGATTTATCTTGCGGTAGACGTGGAAATGGAAATTTTACCAATGAATTTGTCAACAACATAATCATACTACGTGTTTGCATCGAAGAAACAGTATTCAATTCAATAATTAAATATATCAAACCAGTATTAATGATTTGATAATTTGAACGAATCGGTACGTTGATTTCAATTGTTCGTGTTTCAATAATTTCATCGAAAAATAAAATTGAATTTTCATTCGATGGAAATGGATTATCCTCTTCTTCATCCATGATATCATCATCGTTGATTGAATTGTCAAAATTGTCCTGACGATGGCGACGGCGATGATGGTGATGATGTTTTCCTTGTCGTCGACGTCGCCGCCGTAATTGATCAAAATAATTTAATGAAATTTCTTCAACATTCAGTTGTATTGGTCCCAAACCCGAACAAGGTTGAATATAAATATAAAGTTTTTGCGGCTGCTGTTGATCGTTGCCATTCAATGATGATAATATGGGTAGTTTAAATAGAAAACGTTTACGATATTGATTTTTTGAATCTAAAAATATTCCTGTAAATAAACTATCATGTAATAATGGTAATGATGATTTTTCTTGCCAATTTTTCTGTTCTTCTTGTTCGCGATGTTGTTGTTGTTGTTGTCGATGATAATCAATCAATGTAAAATTTGTTGTCCAATATTTTGATTGCATTCCACCATTCGAATGTTTTAGATTTCGAACAAAAACATCGACAAAATACAATTGTTCAGCAAGTAAATTATTTACAAATATTTTTGTTTGATTCGAACATATTCGAATTGAACGATCTGATTCAATAGGAATCTGTTCGATTGAACATTTATCTTTGTAACGACGATAATGATTACCATCATCTTCTTCGGCTGGTTGTTGTTTGGTAATCAATAAACAATATTCATAATTTTGATCAATAATGGTAGATGCCGGAGAGATTGGAATTGGATTCCACCAAATTTCAACGGCTGATGAAGATTGATTTGTAGAAGTATCATCTTTTGATTCGATTTGTTTAATCATTATTGATGCAACTGGTGGTAATATAGGATACGGAGAAGAATTTGCCATTGAATTCAGATATAATTGTAAAAGAATATCATCATCAGATTTCTTATAATCATCATCGTCTTTGTCAAATGGAAATTGTTGCAATTCCAATTGAATAATATAAAGACCTGGTTGAAAAACAATTCCATTACCGAATGTTATACGAGATTGTTGTTGCTGCAATGTTGTCGGCGGTGATGATGAATTAATCAATGAATGAAATAAATATTGTTCTAAAACTAAAAGTTTTCGATAATTCCGAGAACGTTTTGATAATTTACGATTAATCATTCTGGACCATATTCGATTTGTTTGATGATAATTATTATTATTATCGGTATTTGATCGACGACCAATTTTACGTTTTTGAACTATATTTCAACAACCATGTATAAGGAAAGGTAGAAATGGATTTTTGTGCTCAGGAAATCAGGATTTTTTTTTTGTTTTTTGAAAAAAAAACTTACATTTTTTAATTGTTTTTAAATTGATAAAATATAATTCAATGTGGATGGTTGGTGGTGGTTGTGGTTGTTTGTTATCGTTTGGACCATCACATAATGATACAGTCAAGGAAATATTTTCCATTCGTTTTGATATTTGAAAATATAGCCTAAAAATTTAAGTAAGTAAAATCAATTTGTTTTCAAATAAACATTTTGGTTTTTTCAATTTTTTTTTTGATTTTGCGATTGTTTTCTAGGAAAATTGCATAATCAAACATCAAAGTAGCAACAAGAGAATTGCCAGGTTTCTCTTTCGAAGAATTTCTCAATGTTTTTTCTTGTTGAAATTCTTGATTTTTCTGGCGTTCAATAACTTGGCAAAAGTAAAAGAAACTAAGAAATCCACAATCACCATAAACAAAATGTCAATCTATTGAATCGAAATCAAAGATTTCAACCAAAAATTTCAATGTAAAAACATATTTTTATTGAGATTCTTGGCAAAAGATCGATTCTATCGAAAGCAAAGAACCAGAAAAAGAAGAAAACAAAATTCATAAAGTTATTCGAAAATTTTTTTTTCGTTTTTGTTGAAAAACTTTCATTAATCATCATCAAATCAAATCAAGCTCGAAAAAATTCAAATTTTCTCAAAATTCAAATTTTTTCTCTCCGTAAAGCAATCGATTATCGTTAATTAGCGAAAAAAAAACAATCGAAAATCTTCTTTTCACGCAAAATTGAACAGAAACAAGCAAAGAAGAAGCAAAGTTTTTCGAACGATTTTTTTTTCTTGGCATCCATACAAAATAACCCGTAAATTTACATTCATCGTGTGTGATGTGTTTAAAATTAAAAAATGCGGATATTGTTCTTTTTTTTCTCTCTCTCTCTCTACTCGTTTCACACTAATCATCAACAAACATCTAAAAATTCAATCATTGAATCATAAAATCATCATTAAAATCATCATTAAAAAACGAATTTAGATCATCGTAATTTGGTTTATTCTCTCGCTTGTTCGTTCGGCTGTCTTTGATATTACACAACAACAAAATAGTGGTGATTCATATGCGAAAAACTAACCAACCAACCGGAGGAAAACGCCAACGAAGAATCAAATCGGCTAAATAATAAGTGTAATAATCTTTGAATGGGCCCAACAACAGAAAAAAAAACATTAACAGAAAAGTTCAAAGTGATAACTTTGATTCTACAGAAAAATGCGTATATTGTACAGCAGAATTACTATTTTTTCTGTATCCATTTCGTTTGTTCATTTGTTGGTTTTATTTTTAGAATATACACTGATTTGGGAAGAAAAGAAATAATAATAATTATCACATTTGACTGATAATCAACTTTTGTGTGTGTTACGCTGCCGCCACTGTGTAATGCGCTCAGGGTTAATCAACTTGAACCTCAACGAACCTCAATTTAGACAACTGAAAAGATGAAGAATCATGATTTTCCGATTACCGGGGAAAGGATTAAAAAACGGGAAATATTTACCTTTCAATTTTTGATCCATGAATAATTAAATCTTTCGTCTGATCGAATGGTAATTTTTGTTGAAAAAATTCTTGTTGCTTCTGTTGTTGTGGTTGATTATCGTCGTCAACATCAATAATATTCGATAATTTATCATTATCGAAATGATTTGAATTTTTTCGTTTGATAAAATTCAATTCATTCGAATGAACCCGAATAAATTCATTGGATAATATGATTAAATAGTAGATGATGAATATTATCGGTGATTGAATCATTTTGTTGGTCAAAATTTTTTTTAACACATTTTTTTCAAAACACAAAAGTCAAAAATCAAGAATCAGAAGTCAGAAATCAAGAAAATCAGAAAACCGAAATCAGAATTGAATCTAGATCAACAAAGCAATTCGTTTGGTTGGTTGGTTGGTTGATTTACGGCCAAAGATGAAAATGATGAAATAAACAAACAGCCAGCATATTCGGGTAAGCATCATTTTATGATCATTAAACTAAACAAATGATGATGGTTATCATCATTATTACCACGACCAACCGACAATGATCATCAATGATTGGTTGAATGAATGAATGAATGAAAAAACCACCCCACCAATTTAGTTAACTGCTACTACTACTACCACCACCACCCAATTTAACATTTAACAATTCGATGTAACCGATGTAAAAGAAAAAATTTATGTCGGATGATGGATTCGTCTGGTGGTGGTGGCGGTTATTCTTGACGATAATGAAATTCAGAATGAAAACATTGAAAAAGTTCCCATGGGCAAAATTGATTTTAATCGATTGTTGTTAATAAAATGGCCAGCCATTAAAAAAAATTATTTTAACCCAGAAACAAAACAAAAAAACATTCCGAAATTGTTGAGAATTTTCACAATTTGAAAATGCAAAATAATAATAATCGGTTGTCGGTGTTAACCTTTTCGTTTTTTTTTTTGTTTTCAATTTTATGACCCTATTTACAAAACGAAACAAAAAAAAAATTCCAAACAAAACTTCCATGTCAAAGGTAATAATCATCATCAAGCGAGAAGAAACAGAAACAAAAAAGGTGTTGAAACTAACAAGTTATCCGGTCGGTAGAGAGAGAGAGAGAGAAATGAATGAGACCTTGGGGTCTGTTGATTTTAATTTTGTTGATTTTATTATCGTTTTTTTAAAAAAATTTCAATTTCTAGGTTTTTCATTTCATTCACAAGAAAACAAAGTGCTAGTTGCTGGGTGTGATGAAAGCTACAAAAAAAAACGTTAATTGATTTTTTGGTTCTGGTGTTTGTTTTATTGGGAGAAAAAAAAGAAATTTCAAATTTTCTCGCCTCTCTAACCAATCAAAATAATAAAGTTATTTATGGAACACAACAAGGTTTGCACGTCATCCTTTTCGTGTTAAATATTTTTGTTTATAAATTCACATTTTTGGTTGGGTGATTGGTTGGTTGGTCGATTTTGTTTGACGAGAATTTTGTCTTGTACAACCTAATAGTCATTTAACCCTGAAGTTGAATGAAAAAAAAATGAATGAATGAATGAATTTTGATATAATCAAATGGGCGGCTTGATATGTTTGATGATCTTGATCTTGATCGATCAACAAGTGACCCAAAAATCATTTAGAAAAAAGAAGTTTTGATGATTCAGAAAACAAAAACTTTTGTCCATCTTCAGTTCGATGTCTGGAGAGAGCAAGGTCTTTATTGCATAATAATAATCATCAAAGAATTTTGTTGGAAAAAATTCCAATTCCATCTATGGTGGTCTCTTTGTAATGAAATGAAATTCTTGAATTTTCGTTTAATGATGATGATTTCAATTGAAAGAAAAGAAAATTCACCAAATGAAATAAAATGAAATGGAATGGAAAATTCGTGACTTAGTCATGATAATAATAAGATTCAGGTATCAGGTATTTATGCAAAACAAAAAACATCTAAATTTAAAAATTACTTTGATTTGTCATTTGCAAGGTAAATGAATGATGACGATAATTATGGTGGTGTGGTAATGTAGACCACACACACACACACTCATCAAGATAATCATCATTATCATCATCAACTTTGAACGATACACGTGTTTATCGCTTGAAAATGAAAAATTCTTTTGAATTTTGAATGAAAAGCGAAAAAGTTGACTGAATTTCATTTTAAAAAAAAACGAAGAAAAAAATGAAATAATTTAATTTGAATTTGAAATAAAATTTTGATTGGAAATTTGTCATCAAAATCAGATTGACAAATTGGTTGGAAAAAAATATGCTTCCGTATTTGTGTGCTGATACCGTTTGTGACATCGTACAACAAATCCGATAATGTTCTAATTGATTTTTGCTTTTTTCGTTCATTATCTTGTTGAATGGTAAAAAGTGACTGGTACGAACAAATTAAATTAAATTGAATTAAGGTCTTTCTTTTTGATTTTCTTACCTGATTTTTTTTCGGAGAAAAAAAAACAAAAAATTTTCAAAAAGAAAACATTCGATCGAATGAATTGAAAACATTCGAATAATGTCATTACATTTGTCATGCGCAAATCGAATTGAATTGACACTGGTTTATCTCAATTGTCATGCGCGAATCGAATCGAATTCAATTTCTCTTTTCGATTTTTTTCTGCGGAAGGAAACTTTATTTTCGATTTTTGATTTTTCGATGAAAAAATTTGTCAACTTTACGGTGAATGTTTCATAATGTTTGAAAAACTTGTTGAAGCAACATCAATCAATCAATCAATCAGTTGATCAATCAATCAATCAGTCAATCAATCGAAACAAAAAAATCATGATTCTTATGGTATTTATGGTAGATGCCTGGTGGTTATGGTGGTGGTGTTTAATGTTTAGTTTTGGTTCAATTGGTTCATCCGAATATTCAAACAACAATAATAATAATGATTTATATTCTCGAACGAATAATTATAATAATAATAACGATGATAACCAGAATCCTAAAAATAATAATAATGATTCATGGATTATTTATTCATTTCAATCATTTGATCATAATCATAATCATAATCGAAATCCATTATCATTATCATTGGATAAACGTGAAGAAAAAGATTCGGATATAAGATTAAAGAATTTTAATGATCAAATGAAAAAAAATCTAACATCATCCGAAACATTATTATATCATGGTTATATACCACCGGTTAATCATCTTGAAGATCCAATTAATAATAATGATAAATTACAAGAACCTACCACCGAATCTTATTATTCATCTATTTATAATGATATTTTAAAACAAAATGATTCGGAACAAAATATTGGCAATGATGATCAACAACAACAACAACAACAAACAACAAAAGATCCACCTGATTCAATACAAGATCTTTTAGAACCAGCTGAAGCAAGAAGTACAAATCCTACGGAAGAAGATGATCCATCGGAAGATAATCGATCGAATCCACAACCAGATGATGATGAAGATTTTGGACCCGATCCAATCGATGAAGATGATGGTAACAATGATGATAATAATAATGGTGAAAATAATAATGGTAACAACGGTGATAATAATGATAATGATCAATCGACAAAAATCAATACAATGATGGATAATGATGATCCAAATTCATTAAATGGTAATTATGGTTTATGGTTGTTGTTTTTTGGTTAATTAAAACAAATTTTAATCCTTTTTTTCATTTAAAAAACAAATCTAGATAACCATATGATAAGACGATCTGATACGGATGATAATGATACGGATGATAATGATTCAGATGATTATTCGGATGATGAAGAAGATGATGATAATGATGATGATGATCGTGCTGAAAGTAATCGTGATGAAATAATGCTCGATGATGATGATGATAATCGTAATAATAATAATAGTAAAGAAGATGATGATGATGATGATGTTGATCGTGATGATTTTGGTGATAATGGTGAAACACAACAAATTGTAAGTACACAATCAATTGATTCTGGAATTTTAAAAAATCTAAACTTTTTGTTGTTGTTAACAAAAATAGGATTCTGAAATTATAATGCCACAAATATTTTTATGGAATAATCCGGTTGAAACATTAAATGATGATTCGGATGAACTAACCGGTGAAAAAGATGATGATTTTAATCTTGATGAAACACAATTTGATCAAGAATATCCTGATATGTTAGATCCACAAGCTAGTAGTCAATCATCATTGGAAACATCTGCAAGTGAAATTAATCAAACATTACAATTTCAACCAAATAATCATCATTCGAATCCGAATCTAAAAAATAATGATGATAATCAAAACGTTGATCAAAATAATAAAACAACAAAAATTGAAGAAATTGTAGCAGCCACAACAACAGGTGAAACAATTATTATTAAATAATTTAAAAAAAAATAAACCTGATCAATCAATTATCAATCAATAAATTAAAAAGCAATAATTTTTTGGAACAAAAAAAAATATAATAATAATTTTTATTTTATAATAATTTTGTAAATATAAAGAGAGAAAGAGAGGCATATTACAGTTATAAATCGAAAATCGTCAAGATCGTTATCATCACATCGAGCAAATATGAAAATTGAACAGGAAAAAAAATTCAATTTTTGGAAAATTAAACAAACAAAAAAGAGATAAAATAAATTTAAAAAAAGGTTTTGATTGCGTGGGTAATTACAAATATATCATCAATCAATCAATCGATCGATTACAATTACAATTATAAATTCTTCAAAACAAGATGATCATTTAGTTGGTAATGATGATGATTGTTGTTGCATTGATCCAGTTTGATTATTATTAGTATTTTCCAATGAATTATTATTATTATTATTATTATTCGCTAATAATGGTTGTAAACATTCTTGTATAATTTTTACACCTTTCAATGTATAATGTATCAATTGTTCTAATGAACTACTTAATTGTAATTGTAAACCAGCTTCATGATCAATTTTTTGAAAAAATTCTTTACATTCATTTTTAGATTGATTTGTTTCAATCATTGATTCGGATTTTATCCAAAGATCATTTGCTGAATATGATTGTTGCAATAGGAATAGTTGCCTAGAAATATAATTCATCATTTGTATTGGTACAGACATTGTTGATGATGATGATTGATTTGATAAACTATTTGATGATGGTGGATTTTGACAAGAATTAAGAATTTTTTCATGTGTTTTAAAAAATTGACCAATCATTTCTTTATTTTCATGTATTTCACGATAACGCATCCGGGTTAAACGTGAATTAATTAATGCTTGACAACGATATGATAATACAGTTAATTTTAAATCAATTAATTGTAATTGTTCTTGATTTGTAAATAATAATAATGTTGATGGACGATTATTTTGTTTAGATAATTTTGCTGTTGCAACTTTTATTAATTGTAATGTATCACGATATAATTGATATGCTTTATCTATTTCTGATTCAATACGTTTTTGTTCCATAATTAAACCAGATTGTATAAAATACATTGATGCTTCAATATATTGTAATATTTGTTGTTGTGGTATTTTTATTGAATCTGCTTTACGTTTTAATGTTCTTGCCATTGATTGTGCTTCTTGTTCGGTTGAACATAATGGTGAAAATGATCTTTGTGTTGTTGTTGTTGTTGATGAATTATGATGATAATAATTATGTTGATGATTATTATTATTATTAGTAATATGTGGTGATGTTCGTAATGAATTATTAATATTATTTATAGGTATTGATACCGGTAATGATGATGATAAAGTGGATGATGATATTGGTGATGGTACCTGTTGTTGCTGTTGGCCATATTGTTGTCTTGATGAATTTCGTCCTTGTGAATTTTCTAAGGGTTTATTAAGTTTGCTGTTCGATGATGATAATGTTGGTGCGGATGTTGTTGTTGTTGTATCAGATATTTTATTGATTTTATTAGCTAATTTCAATTGTGAACCAGCAATAGATTTACCATTTAAATTTGATAATTTTTCATTATCCAAACGTTGTTGTGATGATTTTTGTTGTTGTTTTTTCAAATCTGATTTAGAATTTCTTGATGATTGCGATGATGGTGGTGGTATTGGTGATGCAGATCGCATTCGTTGTTCATGATTTAAATGATGATTACCATTACGATCAATATGTGGTATACGATTTAATTTTGGTAATTCTATCGATACAATAAGTGATTTTTGACCTAAATTATCAGAATTATCTATTTTTCGATTATAAGAATTATTCAATGATGGTGAATATCGTTCAGAATTTTTCGATGATGATGATTTTTTATTTATCGTTGTTGTTGTTGTTGTCGATAAACGATTATTATTTGATTTAGAATCATTTAGCGAATGACTAGTTGCGGATAATAAATTATCAGCTAAACGTGAAGATTTATTTGGTGGTTGTTGTTGTGTTATTGATGATGGTGGTGGCTGAGATTGTGAAAACTTTTCCTTTCTTCTTTTAACATCTTTCCATGTATTATTTTCATCATTTAGACGATTTTTTTGCTGTTGTTGTTGCTGCTGCTGTAATTTTAAATCATCTGCAAATTTTGCTGGTATTTGTAATAACGATGATTGTTGTTGTTGTTGTTGAATCATAGGTGATGATTGTTTCTTTTTATTAATTTTATTATTTGTTGATGATAAAATTGCTTCTTGATATGGTGAACATTTTGATGATAATGGTGGTGGTGGTAATGATGGTGGTACAATACGATGATAATCTTGCGATTGAGGATTCATTACGGATGATTTTGAACGATCCTTATTGATTAATTTTGATTCAAAACGTTGACGATCATTTACAGAAGATAACGATTTTAGTTTTGTTGTTTTATATGATGGTGATAATTCAGAATCCATTTCATCATCATCATCATTGCCATCACCATCACCATCACTATTATCATTGATTAATTCACCTTCTTCCATTTCATCATCATCATCATCATTTTGATTTGATTTTCTTATTGAAAATGATGATGAATCATTCGATAATTCTAAATCATCATCTTGATGAACAGAATTCTTTGATCCAGATCTTGAATATGAATTCTGTTCATCATCCGATTGTTGATCATGATCAACCAAATCATTATCATCAGATGGAATATATTTTAAATCATCATCATCATCATCATCAATAATATTCTTCCTATGATTGATTTTTGAGCTAGAATTTTTTCTTTTCAATTTTGAATGTTGTTGTTGTTGACGATGATTTTTATCCATTGATTTTGATTCATTTTTATTTCGAATCTTTAAATCTTTTTGATTATTATTTAATAAATCTTGATTATTATCGTTGTTGTTGTTGTTGCTGTTATGAGTATCTTTATTCGTCGTTGTTGTTGATGATGATGATGATGATGAATAATCACCCGGTGGTAGAAAATTATCTAAATCCCATTTATGTTCTTCATCATCATCATCATCATTTGGATCATTATTCATCACCATTTTTGTTGCTTTTGATGATTTCAAACGTGAATCAATAATTTTCTGTTGCTGTTGATTATCACAATTATTTGCTGATTTATGTCGTCGTTTTGTTTTATTCATCATTTTTGATTCCAATAAACCATCATTTGAATCTTTTCCCTGATCATCATCATCGTCGTCGGATGAAGACGACGAAGACGAAGAAGAAGAAGAAGAAGATTCGGATGATGATTCTTCACCATCTTCTTCTTTTTGATCATCATCATCATTTGAAGATGATTCTTCTGATGATAAATTAAATGATTCTTCTTCTTCTACTTTATTATGATTTTCTAATTTATTAGATTTTTTCTTTGTTTGATCCAATATTTGATTCTGTAATATTGAATATGGTGATAATGATGATGATGATAATATCTGTTGCTGTTGAGTATTATTTTTCATTGAATTATTACTATTTTCATTATATAAATCATCTAAACCTGTAATCGGTTTTGATGGTAATATTAAACCATTATTTGGTATCATTTCGGCAAATATTTCCTGTACACGACGACGATTAAATTCATTACGTGATATACCGACCAAATTTGGATTTATACAATCCGAATTATTTATTGAATTTGTTAGAAATGGTAAAAATTTACCAAAATCACCTAATGTTGATTTAATTTCTTTGGTTGTATCATCTTCACGTTCTAATCGAACCGGATCGGGAAATAATGAATGCGATTGTTTATCGGATTGTTGTGAATTTTTTTGCTGTAAATCTCTACCACTTGTATGATGTGAATGTGAATGATGACCAATCGATGATACATTAACCGATTGATGATTAGTTTGATGTTGTTGTTGTTGCTGCTGTAATGCTAATGCTTGTTGACGACGTTGTTCACGTTCACGTTGTCGTTCACGATCACGTTGGGTTGTTGTTGATGATGATGTTATCATTGATGATGGATTTGTTGCGGATGATGCGGATTGTGCCGCTGTTGATGATGATGATGATGAAATATTTGTCAATTGATGATGTGCATGCATTACTGAATTGAATTGAATGATTGAAAATGGGAAAAAGAAAAACTTGAATGATATTCGAAGAAGAAGAAGGTTCTGGGGGTGACAATCGTTGGTTTTTTTTTGTAAAAACAAAACCTTAATTTAAAAAAAAAGAAAAAGAATTTTTATTTCATTAAACAACTTGTTGAATTTACAATTCAAAACAACAACACTTACCGATTCTTAATTCTTGTTGTACATCAACAAACAAACAACAAAACAAAACAAAATGCCCAAATAACAACAACAACGAAGAAAATTAAATTTCTCAATAGAAAAATAGAATGAAAGAAAAGCTCGATGATTGATTGATTGATGAGTGATGTTTATGTTTCAGTGAAAAATTTTTTTGTAAATATTCTTTGTTGGATATCACAAATTGATAATGATGATGATTGAAAGAATTTAATTTGAAGAAAAAGAATTTTGTACGAAATATTTTGTTGGTTGGTTGGTTTTTTTGAAGAAAGAATTATTTTATCACTGAATGCATTTGTTATTATCCAGAATACAGAATAACTTTGTAGAATAAATGATTGTTAAAGAATTTGAAAGTTTCCATTTTTTTAAAAAATCTTCAATGACCCTTTCTTCTCATTTTTCGCTCTTTATTATTTTGGAAATTTCGTCAAAATGAGAGCGAACGGCAAGAGGTGAGGACGAACTTGATCGAAAATTTAGGTCATATTTTTGTTGTTGTTGTTGAAAGGGTATCATCATCAGGTCATTTTCAATTTTTTTTCGTGCTTTATTCTTCTTCATTTATCATCGCCATTTTGATGTTTGATTCAAAGGAAAAAAAGGAATTTTTAAAAAGATTAAACAAATCAGGAAAAACAAAAACTAACCTGATGATTCTGTTTTTCTTGAATTCAAAAACAAACAACAAAACAAAAACAAAACAAAAACAAAGCTTAATTCTTTTTACAATCCGAGCAGCAACAAAAAATTTAACAAATTTTCCAGCTAATCGGATCAACAAAAAATCAACAATTTCAAATCAAATCAAACAAGTACCATAAACACATGATTCGTTCGATTCCACAACAAAAAAAAACACTCTAACATAAAGCGAGGGTAGACATAGGGAATTCGAATGTTTTTTTGCTTGGTTTGGGAAAAAAGAAGGAAGATACAGAAAGGGTGAAAGACAACCAGAAAATTTTTGATGCAAAAAAAAATAAAACTTAAGAATGGAAAATGAATCAATAAAATAAATCTTTTTTGATAATGTTGATGATCAGTTCATCATCATTTTTTTCATTTTTTTTTCATTTTTTTGGTATTTTGCCTGGACACATAAACATCAACATCAACAACAACAACAACAACGTCAACAGTAAACAAAAATACAAATATACACAGTGTATATCGGTAATTTTTTTTCTGGTAGTGGTTGATAAATACGTGGGAACAGCCACAACATGCCACAGTGGATACAGAAAAACATGCAAACACATCATCATCATCATTTTGGATTGGAAGCAAAGTAATGAATCGAATGTTTTTTTCTGTGTGATAAAATGGGCTAATCATAAATAATAGGACAGAAAATTTACAGTTTTGTTTTTGTTTTTGGGAATTTGGATTTTGTTTTTTTTTTTTGTTTTTAAAGTTTTTTTTTAGTTTTTCATTTGAATTATTTGCCTTTTTATCAATTGTTTTCTGTTTGTGATAAAGTAACCAATCGAAGATCCCATTTTGGAATTACATCGCAAATCAACAACATTCGAATCACCTGATTTGATCAAACTTTTTCCAAATAAAGAAATCAATGTAAGTAATGCAAGAATTGGCAAGATCAATCCCAAAGTTAATTTCATCGAGAATTTCAGCCAAAAAAAAACCTAGAATCTTTTTCTGGTTTGATTTGTAAATCGATCCATTATTTTCTTATTTTCTTATAAATAAATAAACGAAATTGATTCCGTTCGATGACAATAACGATGATGATGATGATGATCCACACCCTAAGCTAATGATTAAATAATGTTTATTAATAAAAAAAACAACAACAACAACAAGGAAACCAGGAAGAATATTCTGGATTCTGTTTGGTTTTTTATGTTCTGGTTTTCTATAGTTTCATCAAACATTTTTTTCTCTTGGTTCTGACCAAAATCTAATCGAATAATAATGATAATAATTTGAAAACAAAACCAAATGAAGGTCGTTATTTTTTTTCGTTTCTTTCAATGTCAATGTTGTTTTCTTCTTTTTGATTTTCGTTATCCGGAATCATCATCAAAAAAAAAAAAAAAAAATTCTACTCAGTGATCATGATGGGTTGAAATAGTCAAAACAAACAGTCAAAATAGACCAATTCCGGATATTCTTGATTTTCGGAAACAAAACGAATTTCTTTCTTGATGACATTAATTTATTCTCCCAAATCATTCATTCGTGTAAAGATTATTCTTGAATTTTTTTTTTCATTTTAAATTACATTTGACACTTGTGAAAAAGAAAAAATCTTTTCTGGACCGATGAATATTCTGAGAATTGAATTTACGAAATAAAAAAAAAGAAAAGAAAAATCCAGCCAAAAAATTCCGAAACGAATCAATCACACATTTCGGATTCTCTCTGGATTCTCTCTCTCTCTCTCTGGACTCTCTTGATTCTCTCGATTCTGGAAATATGTTTTTCCCCCACCCCCAGAATTTT